TGGCACTGAAAGCAGTAACTCAGACTCATCAGAGTCAGAAGCCACCTATGGGTTGAAAACATGTATTTTTTTTATTTTTTCAAGACAGGGTTTCTCTGTGTAGCCTTGAGTGTCTTGTAACTCCCTCTGTAGACCAGTCTTGGCCTTGAAGATCCACCTGCCTCTGCCTCCCGAGGCGTGTGTGTCTGTTTGTGCCCCCCCCCCCGCACCCTCCGTGAAAACATGTATTTTGTAATCCTAGTTTTGGAAAATCAGCACACCTGACCATACCCAAATAACTAAGAAAATACCAATAATCTGTGAGAGTAGATGAGAGTAGTTAGTTGCAGTTTCTGTATGAACAACAAAGACGGGACTACTTTAGTTTTTCTTTATTTTTGTATCATGAAACTGTCATAGTAATCACCTAAGATAGTCCTTAAAAAAAGGGGGGGGCTCAGTTGGGACTGGTGGCACAGGACTAATCTCAGCTACCTGAGAAGCTGAGGCAGAAGAACTGAAAAACTCAAGGCCTAACTGGACTACAGAATGAGTTCAAGGCCAGCCCAACAACTTTGAAATACTATCTCAAGGGAAAAAGGGGAAGAAAAAAAAAGAAGAGGAAGAGGACAATGGGCTGGAGAGATGGCGTAGCAGTTAAAAATACTTGCTTCTCTTCCAGAGAACCAGGGTCAATTCCCAGCACCTACTACTGTCTGTAACTTCAATTCCAGGGAATTCAATGACCTCTTCTGACTTCCACGGGCACCAGGAACATATGCAGTGCTTAGACTTCATGAAGGCAAAACTCATACACATAAAATACAAATTAAAAATTAAAGAAAAAGTGAATGAGCATGGTAAGCGACCAACAAGATAGGCTTAGGAGCTTGCTACCTGAAGATGCAAGCCTGAGGACTTTGATTTAACTCCCAGTATCTGAGAAAAGACAGAAGAACCAACTCCACAAAGTTGTTCTCTGATGTGTGTACCTACCACATATACACACATGACTCAGATGTTGATGTACACCTTTAAGCCCAGCACACAGATGGCAGAGAGTTCCAGGCTAGTCAAAGGTACACAGTAAGATTCTGTCTCAAGGAAAATATAGATGCACACAATTTTTAAAAGAAGGATGGTATTAGTATAGTGCTTGCCTAGCATATTTTGAAAAATCGCATGTGAGGGGGAGGAGAAAAAGGATTGAAAGAGTCTGGAACACTTGTAAAAGTTTCAGCATTCTACCATTAGGTGTGCTGGTGTACTCCTTTAAATCCTAGCACTCAGGAAGAAAAGGAAGGCCGATAGGCAGATCTCTTGAGTTTATGTTTGTAGACCAATCTGGTCTACAATAATGGGTTCCAGGTCAGCCAAGGAAACAAATCAAAGATACATTGTTAAGTCTGTCAAAACCAGAAAGACAGATAGAAAAACAGACAGACAACCAGGGCAGGGTGCTGTGGAATAATGCTTTTATATACTGTAAAGATTTGTCTCTTGTATTGGCTTAATACAACAATGATGGCTAGTAACCAGGCAGGAAGTATAAGCAGGGCAACCAGAAAAGAATTCTGGAAAGAAGAAAGGCAGAGATGGAATCACCAGCCAGATGCAGAGGAAGCAAGATAAATGCCTTACTGAGAAAAGGCACCAAGCCATGTGGCTAGACATAGACAAAAATTATGGATTAATTTAAGCTGTAAGAGCTAGCTAACAATAAGACTGAGCTAATAGACCAAGCAGTTTATAATTAACATAAGCCTCCGTGTATTTATTTGGGACAGAATGGCTGTGGGACCAGGCAGGACAGAAACTTCTGTCTACAGCAGGGGAAAGAGTTTGAGCCTTTTCTCTTGGGAAAAGCAGCTGCCTGCCATTCAAGAAGCTAAATACCAAAAACCATCCTACTATATATAGGAAAGCCCACATTAGTCACACGGACAGAGAGTGAAATCAGATAGTGAACAGAGAGCTAAGAAATTTAATTCCAATTAAACTATTTTTTAAAGATTTATTTATTTATTATGTATTCGGTGTTCTGCTTGCATGTATCCTGCAGGCCAGAAGAGGGCATCAGATCTCATTATATATGGCTGTGAGCACATGTGGTTGCTGAGAATTCAACTCAGAACCTTTGGAAGAGCAGGCAAAGCTCTTTAACTACTGAGCCATCTCTCCAGCCCCCAATTAAACTACTATTATTGGGGTTTTTTTGTATAATAGTCCTCTTAGCTGCTCTGGAACTTGGTCTATTGACCAGGCTGGCCTTGAACTCAGAGATTCCACTGCCTCTGCCTCCTAAGTGCTGGGATTAAAGGATGTGCCACTACCACCACCCAGCAGAAAACAATTGTTTATGCCTATGAAATACTAAAGGCCAGACACCTAAGAGTATAATAATAGAGTTCACATGAACATGTAACACCCTAGCAATTATTAAGGTAGCCAGGCTGGGTGTGGTAACACATCCCTTTAGTCTCAGTACTTAGACAGGAAAATCACAAACACTACAAATACTAGGCCAGCTTGGGATGCAATGTAAAACACTACCTTAATAAAAGGAAAGATAACCAGATTCCATTATTTAAAATCCCAAATGACCATGCTGCTATGATTGTGACTTATTTCACATTTTCTATTAGCCTAAGATTTTTAAATTAGCAGATTTCTGTATGTGCAATATACGAATAAGTAAGGACCTACCACATAATTTCATCTAAGTAATTTAATTAATAATAAATTTACCTTGTAAGTCAAGTACCAGTAACTCCCCTCTGGTATATTCATAGGTCCAGTGGCTAAAGGCAAGCATGATCTCTTCCAGAGTGTTCGTTGGAATAATTTCATCACCATTATTATTATTGTATTTTCTAAATTCTCCGGTCATGCACTCTTCTACAGCAAACCACTGCCCTGCTGAATGGCAGTACAACAGGAAAACCTCAAGGAACCTTATAGAAAAGATAGATATCACCGGGGGGGGGGGGGGTGTTAGTAAGATTCTAATTGATATGCGATATATATAGCATGCACGCATACACACACACTCAACAACGAGTGCCAAAAAAGGCTGCTATCGAGATAACAGCAAGCCCTCACAAGTGCAAAGCTTTACCTTGGAGAGTACGGTATGGACTTGGGCTTCATCTGATTAAAGGCGAACGTGAGCTTCTGCGCTGCTCTCTGCTGCTGTATTTCCTATAGAAGGGGAGGAGTCCCTTGATCAGTATTTGACTAAGATTTCATTTGGTTTAATTCACACTTTATAAGTTAAAATATGAAACTAAGATCGAAGCTTCCTGTCACGGGTTCACGTATACTTACTCTGAGACAGAGATGTAGAACTGTATCTTCTTTATAAATACTTGACCATGTGTTAACCACCTCAGGAAGAAAAGACTTAATGATATAAAGATGCCCTGATTTCAGAATATCGTGCTCTGACCAGGTACATTGTACTTTGACTGCTCTTCGTAAACCTCCTCCCATTTCCTCTTTACTTAAAAACTCTATTTTGGCACAGAGGCCTAGTTGAGACCAAGAAGACATGCTGTTATTCAGTATACTGGGAGAACTCTCCTCCAGACGATACACCGTGACAGGCTCACCTGTAACACAAATGAACACAGTTTAAGATCAAAGTATAACTTAAAAAAAAAAAACAAAGTAGAATAAATATTTGTAAATATCTATGGTTAACAGCAAGCAAGGAACAGAACATAAAAAAGTTGCAGTTTTATAAAAAGTGACATATAACAGGAAACAAAAACAAAAACACACTTCCTTGAGAAGGGATGTGACTCACTGGATAAAAACGTTTGTTGGGCAAACATGAGGGAGGCCCTGAGTCCAAACCCCGAGAACCCATGTACTATTTAGAACTCTGGGCTTTGTGAGCTGCCAGTCTAGTTCCAGATACAGTGAGTAACCCTTTCTTACAGAAATACTACTACTAATGATGATAATAATAATAAGGCAAAGACTGATAGAGCATTAACACCAATGTTCTCTTCTGGTCTTTGTGTGCACTTTGAACTCATTATTTCCATTTAAGCATGTTTCAAATTATATTTTGAAGAAAAACTGTGTGGTGGAGTATGTGTACACATGAGTAAGTGGGTACCAGAAGGTAACTTTATTATGAAACTATTGTTCCTCAGCAGCCATCTACTTTGTTTTTTGGAACAGGATCCCTGGCCTGGAGTTCAGTGATTAAGCTATGCTGGCCAGAGTGCTCCAAAATGACAGCACTGCTGGCACGCCTGGCTTCTTCACCTGAGTTCTGGGGAATGAACTCATCATCTTACTGACTAAATCATCGTCCTGAACTCTTGAGGATAATTTTTTAGAAAGCAAGTAAAACTTTATGTAGTTCTAGACAGAAGGTTAGAGTAATCTGTCTCACAAACGCTATGATGTCTCTTTTCCTACACTTCTGCTGCCTGAGAATGGATCAAGGTTTCTGAAATAGAACACAGAATGGTTTCTAATGCCCCCCCCCCTTCAGCATACTCTACCCTTCTAGTCTGAATTAGAACACAGAATGGATTCTAATGCTATCTATTTCGACATATGTTGCCCTTCTAGTAGCAAAGAAGGTACATGAAGCTGGCATTTCTTCACAGGCATCCTCATTTTGTCCTGACCCTTGTTCTAATTTGTGACTAGAGACCAGTAAGGGTTGCTTCTTATTTATGTTTTGGGATTTACCTCGTGGAGGTACAGGCACGAAGGGAATACTCTGTGACAACCTCATCAGGTTATTTCTTTCCACAGCTGCATCGAAATAGAGAGAAATAATGAAAACTCGAAAGATTCAAATGTCAATAAATTTTGTTTTCAATATCACTAACCTGAATAATAGTAATTTGTATCCATAACAGGCTTAAATGGCGAAGCAAGACCTAAAATTGTAAACAAATCAGACTGTTTAAAAAGCATTTGTGCAGCATAAATTTATGCTCAGACATTCTCAAAAAATAATCTCTAAAATTTCTTTCATAATCTCTCCTAACCAGGGGAAAAAAAGAAAGGTAAAAAAACTACTATCAAATATCACATGACCTTATTTCATTGTGGCAAAACAGTGGCCACTGTGCTCCAAACACCTGGGAAGAAGCACACACAAGATGCTCCACTCTCCAGCTCTTGACGTAAAGTGTACTTTCACACCTGCCACTCAAAAAGGTAAACGTTCTGTTTCTTGTCATTTTGGTTGGGGACAATAGTTATCTAACCATGTTAGGTGAGCTGATGTGAGAGATGAGCTTCTGGGACACGGAGACACTACAGATCAGCTTCTCCATGTCTACATTTTGTGTATTCACTTACTCTGAGAATTTGACTTTTAACCATAGGAAGAAGATATGGGAGAATAACAGATCTGTGATGTGCTAAGTTTTAAAATATAAATGAGAAGGAATCTACTATTTCACAGGAAATAAAATACAACAGTTTTAACACTGTGGTAACAAAAAAGGTTAAGTATATACATACACCTATACACAAACACATGTATCGTTAAGGACTACAAAGCAAGGCAATTAATGCTGCCTAGTATATAAGGGCAGAAGCTTCACACGGGTAAAGAAATAGCAATCTGCACGGCAGTGGATTTTTAGGGATACATTTACAAGACTATCTGAAGGGCTAATGTTCATGCTAAATTTGAGAAACCCCAGGCAGTTTAATATAGAATGACTAGTTAAGAATAAAATCAGATAGGCTGTGGAGTTTTCTGAACATCACCCACTGACACTCAGTCCACAATATCTAATTCCACAGGTCTGTGGCATTACAGATGACTCTACAGTGATTGAATATGCAACCAAGATTGCAAATTAATGAGCAAGAGCATAAGCATACCTGAAGGAGGTGAAGCTACAGAAGCAGGCAATATCAAACTGTGAAGAGCCTAATATGTCATGCAAAGAAAGGACACTGCATTTTACTGAATGACAATGGGAAAAATGTAAAGCAGGAGTGGCTAGATCAAATCTTTCAGGAGAATTATTTTGGTGGTAGAAGATAGACTAGCACTAAAACTACAGGCAGGAAGCCAGCCTGGAATAACTAAACTGAAAACCTATATAACTAATCTGAAAACCTATCTGGCAGGCAGTAACTACTGAATATGAATATATGCATAAGCTGTGACCCAGCAATTCCACCCTTAGGCATATAATCAATGGAAAGCAAATTTATGTTTACCAAACAACATGAACAAGAATGCTCACAGCAACAGAAAGCATAATGGTTACACACTGGAAGCTACTGAAATGACCAAATAGAATGGATAAATTCAATATATTCTAACAAGAAAATACTATGAAACACTAATAATATACAAATTACACTAATAAAATAGTACTGATGAATCTTATAACAATTACATCTCTATGATTCCATTTTTACTATACCAATAAGTAAGCCACCGTGTTAGTTAGGATGGAGGCCAGAGAAAGAGCCTGGTATGTTAGCAATATTCTGGTTTTTGGGTACTGGTTAAGTGGGAAGCGGTTGTGACAGAAAAGTGGCCATCATAATTTATGGGGTGGGTCATGTGTTTGTAAAACATTTATATTAAAGATGAGGGAAGAGTTTTCCAACCACCTTAGCTTTTTAAAACTTGAAGTCTAAAGTGTCTGGCCTATGACAATGTGGTAAATGCTTTAATTATGACCTTTAAGTTTTCATATTTAATCTACTACACAGACTCACCATTTAATGTTCCTCCTTCAGATGGCCTAAAGAAATATAAAAATAATATAAGCTGTGTAAAAGACTTTAGTTTTGATTATCATTTAACTTGTGATTTTATAAGGTTATCATAGTTATTTAATGAAATACAATTAAAGGAATACAAATGTTCAAATCTATATGTCTGAATACTTGCTATTTTCATACTTCATATACAGACATGCACATATTTACATGTGTACATGTTACCAACAACTTGTATTTCAACTTTATGGATACATTAATATTATTTTGGTGTTCAACTGATGGCTACTAGATCTTAATAGAGTAATATTTTTATTTTATGGCTCAGTATTTGTGGAGACATTCCCAGTACTGTGACAATACCAGAAAATGATTTTCTATGATTCTAGAAGTACTCCAGCAGACTGTTATGAAAAAGACTGAGGCATCATTTTGTAAGATTCAATATCCAATGTACAATTTATTTATAACAAGTCTTGATTCCAAGTGGGAGTTCTTTGAATCCCAAGGATTCCTATACAGATGAGACAGTTACATGAAAAGGAGAGTGGGATATGACCAGGATGAATGCTAGGCTGAGTTCTCCCACTACACAGCTCTGAGTCTCACTTGGGACCTAAAGTTGAAGATCCAAAAGGACCCTGGAAACATAAGAGCCACCATGGCCTCTTCCCAATTCCCATATTCTAACTGGTTCCAAAGGTTATCTTCATTTTAGTAAGGTAAAGATTTTCTTGAAAGAAATATTTTAATCCAGCATTATCCCCTTTTCTGCTAAGTACTTGACTCAATCCCCAGCACCAAAAAAGAAAAACAAAAAAAAAATTCTGTGTTTATCTTCTAAGGCTTTGGTTATAAAGACATAGTCCCAAAGGGGGATTGAATGTAGTCAAGTCTTAACCTATTAATGTCAACACAATTTACTTTCCTTTGTGTTCATACCTACTTCAGATCCACAAGTGGAGACACTAAAATATGTATTGCTTGAAAATGGCTGTTCTTCCTCAGCAGTACTTATCTGGGTGTACTGCAAATGGGTATCAGTCATCCAGGGGCAAATTACCTATCAGATTGCTTTTTTTTTTTTAAAAACTCTTCTGGCTCTGGGTTTGTCACATTCATTAGATAATTTTTCAGTACCCATGCTTTCTAAAGCTATCATGTATTACTGCTCTAATCATCACAGTATACGCACACACACACAATGTTTGAGTAGAATGATTGACAAGTATACTATTAACCAAGTGCTAACTAAAGTCTCCAGATTTCAACAAATTTATTCAAGAGCAAGCTGAAATAATATAATCAAATTGTGTAACTATATAGGAAGATTATAATAAAAATATTATAACGAAGATCCTCCAATTTCCTGTCTGTGAAGATAGGAAATGCTGCAACAGATATCTTAAACAAAGTATAAACAGATTAAGACAGAGAAGGACAAATAAAGCATTCATTAACTCATATACTTTTCAGGCCATTAAGAAGAGACTGACTTACATTTCTCTGTTTGATGGTCTATCTCGTAACCAATCCTTTAGTCAAAAACAAACACAAAAACTTAATTGAAATATAGAAGCATTTTTCTAGAATCAATATTAAATATTTAATATGTTTCTTAATATTCTTTAAAAATAATGGGCTAAGAACTTAATATGAAGTCCTTGTTTCATACAACTTATAATCACAAAGGGGAATAAGTAATTCAGGAACGTTATTTTTAACAAGAGCTGTGTTTGTGTCTCTCTGTGCAACCATGTGGGTATCCTCCTTTATTCCATGCTTGCTTTTACATGGGTGCTGGCCATTGAAACCAGGTCATGAGACTTGTATAGTAAGCACTTTACCTACTGACTCATCTCCCCAGTCTCTAGGATTTCTAGTCCTTCAAATTCTTTGTTTCTGATGGCAATCTTATTTTCCAAGCATGCCTCTGATTCTAAAAATAATCTGTGCTTCTTACCAAAAGAACACCAAGTATAAGCAGAATCAAAATCACACCAACTAAATACGAATAAAATGACGGAAACACAAGTATTAAGACACAGCAGCCATCTTGCACACCACACCCATTCACATGGTTTCTATTCAGCAAACTTAGTTGTCATGATCTAGATATTTAACTTCCCTCACTGGGATTAATATTTTCTGAATTTGAATTTTTATTTATTTTATCAATTTAGAAAATTCCAATTCATTCACATTTCTTCAAATTCTACTTTCTCATGGTTAATTAGATGTAGTTGCATTCTGGCCTTAGTAATTCTCTCTTTATAGAGTTCCTCACCTGTTACCCAAAAGAAACATTTGGTCTTTAATCTTGACAAAATATTAGTGTGTTGGTCTAAAATTTGCTATGTAGCAAGACTGGCCTTAAATATGCCCCCTCTGTTCTCTGTCCCCAGGTACTAGGATTATTATACCTGTATTATTTCCCCCCTTTTCTGGTTTTGTGTGACAGGGTCTCATGGTGTGTCCCTGGTTGATCTGGAACTTGTTTTGTAGATCAGGCTGGCCCTGACCTTCCAGACCTGCCTATGCTAGGATTAAAGATGTGTCACTATGTCTGGTGAGTATTTTCTTCCACTCTACATATTTTTCAAGTTGCTAATATTTCTTAATAGTATCTTTTTCTTGGCTAATGTTTTATTATTATAATCCATTATTCTATTTTTAATTGCTAGTCTAATAAAGTCGCTGTAGGTAGGAAATCATCTTAATAGATGATTCTACAATAGATAATCTACAATTTAGATTCTAGACTCCTAGAAAGCAGGATTTGTCACAGTGAAACTTTACAAATTCCTTTTCCTAATGAAACAACTACTTTGTTTTGTTTTTGAGACAAGGTCATACTATGTAGTTCAGGCTGGCCTCAAATTTGAGATCATCTGCCTCAATCTGTGGATTATTGAGATTACAGCTCTGGGATTGTAGATGTGTACCAAATATACTGTGTTTAATAATGTGTGGGTTTTTGTTTTTCCCAGTTTTACAAGACAGGGTTTCTCTGTATAGCAATCCTGGCTGTCCTAGAACTAGCTCTTGTAGACCAGGCTGGCCTCGAACTCAGAGATCCTCCTGCTTCTGCCTCCAAGTGCTGGGATTAAAGGAGTGCACCCAGACTTAATAACTTGATTTTTAACAACAGAACCAAATGTAAGTTACTGCCCTATGGATTATAACTATGTGAGCATCTATTTCTAGATACTCATTTGCCTTCACCCAAGCTAGCAGACTTAGTCATCGTCTGGTTTTAGATTTTACAAAAACCAAACATCACCAAAGATGGTTGAGAATGAATCCATCTCACTATCTTCAATTCAAACAGGAGGTCTTCCTTTTCTTCTGTGTAAAGTTTCTGAGCGTTCTGCATGGAGGAGACTGAGGTCTGTTTTCTAAGGAAAACTGTTTTTAAAGCTTGATATAATTACCCATAAAACACTAATCACAACTTTTAAATATTCATTAGTAAGTGCATGTTCCTGTCAATATGCTACTTAATTGAAATATACAAACCGGTAACAAAGCTGCTTTGGAATCTATTTCTGGAGAGTCTTCTGTAGATGTTCTTCTACTATTGCTTTCTGCTATAAGAAATTAAAAAGACATAGTTGAACAATTACACTTCTTTTTCCCTTTCTTTCTTTCTTTCTTTCTTTCTTTCTTTCTTTCTTAAAACAACAACAACAACAACAACAACAACAACAACAACAACAACAAAAAACCTACAAGACAAGGTTTCTCTGTGTAGCCTTGGCTTTCCTAAACTCTGTAATCCAGATTGGTCTCAAACTCATAAAGTTCATAAAGTACACTGACTTCTGCCTCCCAAGTGCTGGAATTAAAAGTGTATGCCACCATTGTCCAGCTAAACAACTAAACTTTTAAGTATTCATAAAAAAGGAAGTATTAACAAAACAAAGTGTTTCTAGGAGTGTAACCTTCAAAAGCTGGTTTCTTATCTCCAACAAAGCCAAATCCAAGAGTTATAAGGGACCTATAAATTCGCAAGCTATAAGACTTATTAAAAGAAAATTATTTATTATGAAAACTCAGTAAGAAGCTAAATGTATTTTAAACATAAGCCCTCTCCTATTTTCAAACCACCCCTACTGACATCCAGGTTACTATTTTCTCGAGCATCTTTCTCAATAGTGTTTTGGTCGGTGTATGTATGTGTCATATAGCCCCTGGCACTTCACAAAAACAGCAGCATAACACTTACTCTGAGGGTGCCTTTTTCATTACACGTTTAGAACCCATAATAAGACCCTATCTCATAAAACCAAAAATAAAGTAATAGTTGAAGAAAAGGTAAAAAAAGAAAAAGTTGAAACATATTACAAAATGTACAGCAAAACTTTCTTAAAAACCTGAAAATAACAGGATATATGTTATTCTGAGAAATTTAGCTAAGCATCAAAGAATTTAGGATGCTGATTTAAATAAACTCACGACATGATTACATTGGTGGGAAAGGGTAAAGACGTGTATGTGTTCAATCTAGAAATGGTGGGAAAAGTTTAGTCTCCACTTAGTTAAGGAACCTAAGAGCTAGGCACAGTAGCGTGTGTAATCTCAGCTCTTGAGAGGTAGAGGCAGGTGAATTGCTGTGTGTTTGAAGCTAGCCTGCCCTAGATCTATATAGTGAGTTCTAAGACAGCCAGGGCTACACAGAGAGACCCTGCCCCTAAATAAATAAACAAATAAATCGCAAGCAAATTAAGAGATGTGACCTAAAAATGAAATAAACAGATAGAGCAATAGAACTGTTACTTTTAGAAACAATACACATGCTATCTTAAAAGTACTGACAGTTTTACTTTTTCCTTGATAATCACTTCTATCGTTTCTTTTACGGGCCTTATTTCCAGGACTAGAATAAAAAATACAAACAGCTACAATTTCTATCTTAGTTCTCAATATGACATGGAATATGAGATTTGTGATAAGTTCTTACAGATAACTTTTATTGTCATTAAAGAACTCCATTCTTGCATTACTATGTAAGTTTTATTCATGAGCAGATGGCTCAACTTTATCAAATGCCATTTCTGCAGCTGTTGACATGATTTTTAGGTTTGAATTTGCTATCACTCACTATAGTAATTATATATGATGTTGCCAAACCAACCTGAATTCCTACAGTAATATATACTGGCTAAACTCAGTGTACTGAAACAGATTAAAAGAAGTGATTGTGAGGGGACAAGGAAGCGCTGATTTTAAAAGGAAAACGTCACAAGTCACAACTATTCAGCCTTTCAATTATAGGCATTTATATAAAAACAAAGCCAGGTATGGTGCTATGCACCTGTACTACCAGCAACTAGGGACACTGAGACAGGAGGACCACTTGAGTTCAAAGATTGGAAACAGCCTGGGCTACAGTGAAGACTGATCTCAAAAACAAGGCATGATGACACACCTGTAATCCCTGCAATAGGAGGCTGAGGTAGAAGATTTAGGAATTCAAGGACACCCTTAGCTACACAGAGAGTTTGAGGGAGTTTTGATTTCCTGTCTCAAACAAACAAGAAAAAATACTTAATATGGAAATATCACCATGATACAGGAAATGAAAAACTAGTAGTACAAAAGAACAATATGCTATCTTTTGTATAAATTATAGAAAATAGTAAAACATATATTGTTATAAATGATTGCATAAGCATGAAAATTAGCAGACACGCCCAACCTCTGATACTGTGATACAATGTAATCATTTACTAAGTTCATGCAGGGAAGGAGGAGAGGAGTAGAGGAAAGGGAAAGTGGAATTGAAGGTACCGGATGTCAAGATGGGGAAAGGACAGAGACAGAGGGCAAGGAAAGAGATATCATGATTGAAGGAGTCATTATGGGGCTAGCAAGAAACCTAGCACTGGAGAAATTTCCAGAAACCCACAAGGATGACCCCAGCTAAGACCCTAAGCAATTGTAGAGAGGGTGTCCAAACTGGCCTTGTCCTGTAGTCAGAGTAATGACTACCTTAAAAGTCATCATAGAACCTTCATCAAGCAAATGATGGAAGCAAAGGCAGAGAACCACAGTGGAGCACTGGGTTGAGTTCCTAAAGTCCAGTCGAAGAGAGGGAGAAGCAATAGTATAAGCAAAGAGGTCAAGACCACGATGGGGACACCCACTGAAACAGTTTACCTGAGCTAATGCGAGCTCACTGGAACCACCATAGGGCCAAATATGGGTGACAGTTATATGGCTGGGGCAGACTGTGGGGTCACAGGCAGTGAGACCAGGATTTATCCCTACTGCTTATACTGGCTTTCTGGAATCCATTATCTTTGGAGGAATACCTTGCACAGCCTAGGGGTGGGCCTAGTCCTGCCTCAAAGCAATGTGCTAGATTTTGTTGACATCTCATGGGAAACCTTATCCTCTCTGAGGAATGGATGGGGGTGAAGTAGAGGGGGAGGAGATGGAGGGAGCAGAAAGAGGAGAGGGAGTGGGAACTGGGATTGGTATCTAAAATGAGAAAAGTTTTTTCAAAAATTAATTTTAAAAATTGCATAATTAAGACTAATAAAATCAAAATGCTTATGCTCTACTAAGTCACTATTTTGTGTTGGCCTAAATTAGTAGCTATCCATAGGTGAAGATGACATTCAGGCCACAAAATGGATACACTAGCTAAATGCAGACAAAAAAATAGTGGTTCTATGTATGGTTGGAAAGAGAAGAGGTAATTTTTCAAAGTGTATTTTAACCAGGTTAAACTACAAAAATAAAGTTGTTGAAAAACTGATGCTATCTGTAAATGTTAAAATTAGATGTAAAAGATCTTTGAATTTCATCTTTTCTGACTAAATAATCATACATATATTTATCATATTCATATGTGTTTGTATGTGAGAGAGAAAAATGTAAGAATTACATTACTCATTTCCAAGGTCACACTAACTATTGTTGACCAGGATTTTCAACTTTTGACTCACATACCATTTATTACTAAGGTACTTGGTAAATATATACTTAAAGCTGGGCAGTGGTGGTGCACACCTTTAATCCCAGTACTCGGGAGGCAGAGGTAGGCGGATCTCTGTGAGTTCGAGGCCAGCCTGGGCTACAAGAGCTAGTTCCAGGACAGACTCCAAAGCTACAGAGAAACCCTGTCTCAAAAAACCAATATATATATATAATGTATAAGCTTAGTATGTTTGTTAAAAGAATTCATAAGGTCAAAACACTCACCTTGTTCTGCATGAAGAGAAGCAGAAGTCTTATGACACTCACTATATCCAGCAGCAACATGTTTCAAAGTGTTTTCAGAAGGAGTATCATTCTGTACAGATTATATAGATGTGTGTACATATAAACATAAATATGTATGCACATAAAATTTTAAAAACAATTGAACTTCAAGTCACTGTACTGCATAGAAATTCTTCTGATCTAACTCAATATGCTTTATTCGACTCGAGCATTAAAAGGTATATAACACAGATCTGGCTACATGATCTTGAATCTCGAAAACTACCTACTCATCTGAATGAATCCTTTTAATACTAATACATATTCTCAAGATGTTTGGAAAAATATAAAAAACTGTGGAAACTGAAAACAAAACCACTATTACTTTATAAAGAAAAAAGTATTGCCACGTGGCTTGATACGTATTGCTTTGTAGGAGCTATGTGACAAACCTTGACTTCTCTTTGAATTTGTTCTGACACATGGATACAATATTTCAGTGTCTCTGAAGCTTTCATTTTGTTTATATTATTCATACATTTTAAAATGCTTGCTGCCTTTCTGGCCTAATAATTATTTTGCATTTTTATTAAAATTTTCTATGATTAGACTTTCTATATTTAGCTCTAAGATTCATCCAAATTTATAAAAATTATGATGACAGTCCTTTCAAATTTCTACCCAATTCTCCATTATACTAACAAAGCACTTCCTATATTAATTTCAAATTCAGCCCTCCTACTAAATTGTTTTGTTCAAGGTTTACTTCAACAGCAATGATATTTAATTAAATATTTTTGTTTTAATTATTCTAGCTACAAAATATGTTAGTATCTAATAGTTACTTCACTTTGACTTTCTTCTTTCCAAACAAACTAATGAATCCCATTAAACAATTAGGGAGAGGCATCACACCACTTTCTTTTTAAAGTTTTATTTTTATGAATGTCTGCCTGTGTTCATGCCATATACACATGCTGCACACAAAGGCCAGAAAAAAACCATGGGATCTCCTTGAGCTGATATAGGTTCCAGGACCCAAATTCATATCCTTTGGGAGAGCAGCAAGTGCTCCTAACTAATGAGTAATCTCTCTAGCTCCATACTGTTACTTTATCAACCCTAAGAATATTACACAACCTTTAAAGTATTTCTGAACTTCGGTCACCAAAACATTACTGTAAATTATTACCTCAAAAAAACTAAGCATCTCTGGCTTTGATGTTGCTCACTCTTCACAATATACAATATACTGAATATATGAAAATATGATAAAAATATGCTAATATAAAATAATTTCAGATAACACCTTTCCTAACACTTAAGAATATCCAGAGTACTTCATTTACCTAAAAAGTCCACTTCATTATCATGTATCATGTGACAGCTAAAATGCATCCAACCCACTTATCTAGCTTTCTCCTTCAAAATTATCATATAATGAAAATATTCAAAACTTTATAAGTATGCCGACAGAACTAAAGTGAATAGAAAATACTGTGCAAAGAAGCTGAATGTAATAGCACGTGCCTACAATTCCATTCTTGGGAAGTAGAGGCAAGGCAGATAAGGATTTAGAAATCAGTCTAAGCTTAGGTTTCATGAGATTGTCTCAAAAATACCACTAAGATTTAAAATGTAGTGAGGAGGAACTGTAAATAAAGAACAGTGTCAGGACGGGACCACTAAACTTATGGACCACCTCCTTTAAAGGTTTATGTGGATGCTAAACTCAGCTTCTGACTCCCACACATTAATAAGATGTTACTGGATATTTAGGCACCTATGAATCCCGACGATCATGTTTTATATCAACCTTTGAAGCAAGAAAATCATACAACTATTTTCATACTTTAAGGCAAATAGAAAGTAAATATAGAATCATCACTTCTCAATTTGCATATATTCATCAATTAAATTATGAGTTTACAGCATCTACTCAGTAGATCATCATTTTAGTAACAATGCATCTGAGTCTCCCTTTATATTCAGGGCAGTATACAATATGCCTGACACCAATGACACAGTTAACTTTGGATCATATGAGTGATGACTCAGAGAGCATGTCAGTTATTATATTTCTGTATCTTTAGGAACAAATCTTGTTTCCTGTATTTGTTATTTGACCATTTCTAAAATGTAAGTTCTTTAGGGAATAGAGGAGTTAAAGCACTTTAAGAAACTCATGGTGTAGCTACATCACTGTTCTTGAGGTGATGAGTAGCTATGGGAGATTTATGAAAGCAACAGAAATAAAAACTACTTTTCAGGCAAGAAATACATCTTTTTGTTTTTTTTGTCATGTGTTCCATTCATTCATTAGATGTCATTAGAATTTATTTAATACTCTATATATGTACATCATATATAGCCTTTTAACTTCTAGATTCCAAGTTTTTTGAAAGGAACGATTGTGTTCTAAGAAACTTTGGGTCCTTAAAGAAAAGTTAAGCTCAGTAATAACTCCATAGAAAATGAACAGGGAAAAGCCCTTATTTAAAAAACTGTTAAACATTTTAGTTAACAAAAATGCATGCTAATTTGAACCTTTTCATGTTTCTCTTTGAAGCCTAACAATTTCAGGTATCTGAGGTAATCATATAATGATAATAGTTTCAGGTATCTGACAGTTTCAAGTGTATGATAATCATACTAATGACAATCTCTGCTAACCTATTTTTACTGAAAAGTTCAGTTCTATTTAGAAAAAATGATCACAAAAGTGAAATTACATTTAGTTGTGCGGACATTTAAAAGTGTCACTTACGGATAACAGTTCTTTTATTCTGTTTGATGTTTCTTTAAACCTCTGTAAATCCATACTATCTCTGTGTCCTTAACAGGGGAAAAGGAAAAAAGGTTACAATGAAACTTTTTCTTCCCTATTAGATGAAGTAAACTCTTAGAAACAAATGATTTATATTGACTTTTTAAAGTAGTTTTCAGGCTCTGTAAACTTTCCTTTAGCTCTTTTTTAAAATTATTTTAGATTTATTTATTATGTATACAATATTCTGCCTGCATGTATGCCTGCAGGCCAGAAGAGGGCACCAGACCCCATTACAGATGGTTGTGAGCCACCATGTGGTTGCTGGGAATTGAACTCAGGACCTTTGGAAGAGCAGGCAATGCTCTTATCGGCTGAGCCATCTCTCCAGCCCCTCCTTTAGCTCTTTTTATAGGTCACACTGAAAATACCTACCAGAAAGATGTCCAACAGCAAACAAAAAAGGCCTCCAATTGAGAACCCCGCAAACAATCTAAGTCAACCTTAGCATTAGAAGGGGACATTTTACTCTTACTAATGAAGTACAAAATAGACTGAGTCAGGCTTAGTGGCAAACATCTGTATCCCAGCACAAGGAGGATAAAGGAAGGAGCAACAAGATACTCAACCAAGTTTAAGGGAAACTTAGACTTGGTAAGATTGGGATAGATTTAATGTAGGAAATATTATTTAATTAACCATATAAACTTATAATAAATACCAGTAATCTGATACCTAGATAACATGCCAGGTTGGCCTTAATATGGATATTCTACATGGTATTATTAACAGATTTTCCAAATAATAATAATAACAGTGTCCATGACTAGGTAAATTCGTAGGTTGGGAAAAGCTAGAAAAACAGTTAAAGAGTAGAATAAAAAGGCAATGGACAAAGTCAGACAAGAAAGGCAAAAGGCCTCAGGTAGACCTTGTAATAGTATGAATATTACTCTAAGAGAACAGTAAAAACCTCCTTAAATACTTTAATACTCTATCAGAAGACAATTAGAACACTATATTCTTCCATATCACAGAGCTCAGCTAGCCCTATAACATCTTCTCTCTTCAGTTGTTTATTCTCCTCTATATGACATGCTGTTAACATTTAAATATGCTTATGTCTGTATTACCATTTAAACATTTAACACATTTAAGCTTTCAGGTAATTGTCCAACTCTTCACATTTACACTTTATTTTACTACAGTCTAGCCCTCCGTCCCTTTCCTGATCAAGTAATTTTCACAAATGTTATTAACATGATTACTGTCAAAAGAGCATTTTTCCCCATTACTTTACTTATGCTATCACTATTATGTAAAAGACTTTTCTTTTGCAACAATCTTTTCTGGTGCAACAGTGGAATGAATGCTGTAGAATGAACTACTTTCTAATGGATCTCAGCCTTGCTCCATAAGAGATCCAAGCCTGACATTGTAAACCCATGTCTGTTACTTTGCTAACTGTTCTAAATGTCTGTTTGCACCCAGAGACCTGGGAGGCTCTCAACCATGGTCAGAGAAGCTTCTTTTAGCAGTGGGCGGCAGCCCATAATTGTTGAAGGAGTTGAGAATAAATGACTGTGAGTGCTAACCCTTAAACGAGATATTATTAACCCACTAGCCAATGCTCAGGGAAGTGTGTGGGAAAGGAGGTGGAAAGAATTTAAAAGATAGCTCCTTCGTGCTGGTTCTTTAGTGCACAAAATAGCTGATAAAAGTGAGAGATGGGGTTAGAGAGATGGCTCAGCAATTAAGAACACTTGTTAGTCTTGAAGATATCCAGGTTCAGTTCCCAACACCCACATAGTAGCTTACAACCATCCATAACTCCACTTTCAAAAGAACTGATATCCTCTTCTGACCACTGTGGGCAACAGGCATACCCATGGTACACAGACATTTGCAGGCAAAAACTCATACACATAAAATAAAGAAAAAGCTTAAGAAAAATCATCTATCTAGAAATATTCTCATCTTTAGATATGGAATTGAGTAGACCATAAATATAGACATGTATTTGATTGGTAGGGTAACAAAAGTTGCTTTTAGGTGAACCATTTATTTTTCTGTTTTTATTAAAGATTTAATATGATTATAATGCCTACTGTATAAAGTAATGAATCTATGTGCTGTCCCTCTAATCTTAACGTAATTACTTGTAGTATATAGTCACTTTCAACACTGTCTTGGTTGTATATGAAAGTACACATTGGTCCTATTCATATTGGTGTCATAACCTCCCTTATACCTTTTTACTTTTACCCTAGTACCTACCACTCACAAATCACTCAGACCCTTCTAACAATTGACAAATCCAACTGAATATGTATTAAATTCAAAAGACAGTTCCCAAATAAGTATGTAATTAATGGCAACCTGTCTTACAGTAAATTTTTATTAATTAGCTAATTACTTTTCTAAGGTAGTGTTTCTGACATCAAAAGCAACACTAATATGCAGCAATAGTTTGCCAAACTTACCCACGAATGCGCCAAATTCTATGTTATCTCCTTCTGCAGCTTTATAGAAAACAGGTTCTGGATCTTTGGTTGCAGATTCCAAGTGGCTTTTGCAACTTGGCTGAGATGGAGTACTCACAGAAAATTTGGTTGGTGGGGATGATATATGTGGTGAACTATTAGGTGAACTGCCTAATTTTTGATTTTTATTAAATATTTTTAAGATTTCTACCCCATGTCGCCTCTGTCTTAATTCTGGGGGAGAAACAGCACTTGGGAATAAGGCACCACAGGAGGAACCAGCCTCTGGAATGTTGAATTCTTTTCTCTGGGGTATCACAGGCAAATCCTGACCAAATATGTTATACTGGGGGTCTTTTTCATCTTTCATAAAAATGTTACAAAGAAAAGGATTATTACTCTCACGATCACCTTGAGGAAGAGAGGAACTCAGTGTATTCACAACACTATGCTTCTTCCACATAGGTCTTACAGGAACGTCATCAATAAGATTCTGGGTTAAGTGTTTGGAAATACTCAATTCTCGAGTGATCTCATTGTGAACTTTGCTAGCCTCTGAAGCTTTCTGGGCTGTAAGTGTTTTTAATGTATCTACTGTCAGGGCTGAGAGATCTTGCAGATGGCCAATTTGAGAATCTAAAGACTGTAATGATCTTTTTATGTAGTTGACACGATCTCCAACTTCTTTAATCTGAATGCACATCTGCTCCACTCTGTAGGGGGACAAAAGGGCATTTCAGATGTTAAAAATAATGTAGATGGGACAGGGAGATGGCTCATTAAAGACCGAAGTTTGAGCTCTGTAATCTGGTCAGGAGAAAACGTTGTCGTCTTCACTGAAGCCATGGCAAACGTGCCCTCCACATGTCATGTATACACAGGAGCAGTACTTTTTTTTTTTTTTCCTGAGACAGGGTTTCTCTGTGTAGTCCTGACTGTCTTAGAACTTACTCTGTAGACCAGGCTGGCTTCAAACTCACAGAGATCTGCTATCTGAGTTCACTCCTTCAAATGCATATAAAACTATATACAAAGGACTACCATCGGTGTCATACACAAATACCACATGCTTCTAATATGAAACAAAAACATTGTAAAAAAAAGCCTTAAAATAGTTATGAAAATATTACTTTTATCTTCTTGAATAGTTAAGAATACCAACTCTTCTCTCCTTGTAACTACAGTCAAAAAACAAGAGCGCTGAGGACCAGACTAAGAGGTATAAGCATTTCCTGGTAAGTGTGGGCATGAGCTTGACCCCTAGCATCACTAAAGAATAAAGTAAGGGGCTAGACAGGTGGCTCAGTGGTTAAAGAGCACTTGTTGGTCTTCCAGAGGACTTAGGATTTGAATCCCACCACCCTCACAGTGGCTCATAACTATCTGGAACCCCAGTTCCAGGAGATCAATGGCTTCTTTTGACCTCCACATGAACACACACACACACACACACACACACACACACACACACACACACACACTTGTATATAAAACACTCATGTACATAAAATAAAAGCTTGTAACAAGAGATCTACTGTGTTACATGTAATAAAATATAAAGAACTGACCTGATTTCCCAATGTGTGTAATACAAAGTTTTTTACCTGATAAACTACACTGAACAGAGAACATATATCAACTAACAGGATCCATTTTAACATACAGCCAGTAATAATTAAAAAGCCTACCTACCTGTCAAAAGTGACACGGATTCTCTCTTCACTCCCAGAATGGAATTTATCATCCTTTTCATCAAAATACATTTCAACACACTGCTCTTCAAAGTCATGGAGTTTCTTTTGATCTTCTTCTGTTAAAAAAAGTTCTAAGGAAAAGACCAGAAAAAAATTAGAACACAATGAACGCTACCCACCAGGTTTTCAGATTTCAGCTTGTGTCTTTCTCTTTCTACTTATTCATTTTTTTTTGTTTATTTGATAGACAATTATTTATTTAACAGATAGGGTCTCTTTACGTAGTCCTGGAACTCACACACATCCCCTTGCCTCTGCCTCCCAAATGCTGAGATTAAAGGCATGCAAACCATGTCCAAGTTTTAGGTATTTTGTCTCCTTTTACTTCCTTCTTTCATACTATGTCTTTCCTATTTCTTGCTTAGTTCTCTGATCATGTATCATGTAGGAGAAATTTAAGAAATAATTTTATGAGAAAGAAAACCACAAAAAATTTAAATATAACTGACTTGTTGATTTACCGCAGGTTGTATAAAGATGCATTAATTTGGGAGAATGGGTTTCAAGAACAGGTAAAATGAAATAGGCTACTATTTTTAATAAGAACAACAAAAAACCCTGAGGGACCATTCCCCAAAGAAGTTAAATATCAAATTGATTTTTATGATCATATTGTTTTGCTAGTGTTTAAATGATCAACAGTTTGTTCTAAGGCCAAATATGAGTTACAATGGCCCAGAAACAGAGATTTAGATTACCCAAATTCCATGTTAAAACATGGAAGCAGTTTTATGAAATTTTCATAGTAATAGAACAGAAAAAGTCATAAATCAAGACATTTTTGAAATAGACAGAAAAGACATCTCAGCTATGATCTAAATTGATCTGAAGACACTTAACCTTTTGACTGGTAGAAAGTTAGAGTGTTGCTAAAGTTAACATATTTTAAAATTTGTTTGTTTTTCCCTCAAGATAGGGTTTCTCTGTGTAACAGACCTGGCTACTGGAACTTTCTCCAAAGATCAGGATATTCTCAAACTCACAGAGATCTGTTTGTTTCTGCCTCCCTAGTGCTGGGATTAATGGTATGTGCCACCAAACCCAGCTGAAAAAAACCGTTCTGTTCTCTGTATCTGATATAACATTTATATGTGACATAGAAGAAGACTATTATACTTGAAATAAAAATAATCAATAATACTATTTGGGCTGGGCGGTGGTGGCACACGCCTTTAATCTCAGCACTCAGGAAGCAGGGGCAGGTGGATCTCTGTGAATTCAAAGGTAGCCTCGTCTAAAGTTCCAAAACAACCTCCAAAATACACAGAGAAACCCTATCTCAAAGAAGAAGAAGAAGAAAAAAATACTATTTGGCCTAATAAAGAGAAAGTAGCAGATGAGGAAAGTAGGTGCCCTTACCAACCAAAATATCTCCAAACCATGTCATCACACTCTACCCAGACTCAGGTGTTTTCCTGCTGTGTCTAGTTATTTGCACTTTATGAAACACTTGTAGTAATTTACTTTTAATTCTAGTTGTTTTCTGGCCAGTTTGATTTCATAGCTATCACTTTATGTGCTCACTCTAGTTCTTAAAAAGATTGGTCTTTAATATCCAAATTATCATAGTTCTGTTCTTATTTGCAGACACTCAAACTGTACCTAAAATTGCTTTATATTGAGACAAATTTAGAATTTTCACAATAACTAATCTAATAGGTTATCTCTAAAATCAATATTTAGCATTCAAGTATAATATTGAGAAGCAAAAAAAACATTTGCCTTAATTTATTTTACTTACTTGGTCCATCAGAAGTCTTATCTTTCTTTCTTCTTTTACATACACAGCAAAACAGAGAAACTATATGGCTGAGAATGATAAGTGGAGGAGGCAGAACTGGTTTCTCATGATAAGCCATAATAAAATGATAACGCTGATACTTCCATACAATATTGGAAATTGCCTTCACTTGTAAATATACATTACTAGAATAATGAACAAAAATAAAGCAATTATATTCTAAAAAATTTAAATATCAAATATTTCACCTTAATTCTATACTACATACTTGAGTATACTTTCATTCAAAAAATGTAAATGAAAAACTATATGTAACATAAAGGTTGATATTGTTGAGGACCTTAATAATGACCTTAGAAAAATGGGAAGGAAAGGAATGGCTTGAGGCTTTTACAGAACTATATGTAATGGATAAAACAGTCTTTAACCCTAGCATTTGGGAGAGAGAAGCAGACAGATAACTGTGAGTTTGAGGCCAGCCTGGTTTACATAGCTAGGGACACAGCCTTATTTTGATTTAAAGTCAAACAGCCCTAGAAGTACATATCCTCAACAGTTCTGAACATTTAGAAAAGAAAAAAAATTTTTCAAAAAAATGTTTAGCAGTAAAAAAATGATAATCTAGTGGAGCAGTTTAATATGCTGGCATGAAATATGGTCTAGATCATGTAGAATGACATAGTCATTAAAAACTGCTGAAACATAAAACTGTCAGGTGAGGTGATGCAGAGGGGGGTGGATCTACAGGCAGGGCAACCTGGTCTACAAAGATAGTTCTAGGACAGCCAGAACTGTCTCAAAAAATATGTGCACATTTACACACACACACACAGAGTAAGATTATTTTGAGAACCACAATTTATATATTCCCAAAAATGTTATATGAATGTAACCTAAATATTAAGTGTAATTCCTGTTAAGTTCTGTGTTTTTCTGCAATTCTCTAGCAACCCAAGAAAAATATGAGATAAAGATAAAAAAATTTTGAAACATTTTTTTCCCTATGTGTGTTATGTGCAGGTGTATGTGCACAGGTCTCCTCACCATGTAGGTCCTGGGGACTTGTTAATAAGCACCTTTATCAACTCATCTCACCAGTCTTTTGACCCATTCTTTAAAAATAAGGTAGAGATTGGGGCTGGAGAGATGGTTTCAGAGGTTAAGAGCACTGGATGCTCTTATAGCAGTCTTGAATTCAATTCCCAGCAACCACATGGTGGTTCACAAGCATCTATAATGAGATCTGGTTCCTTCTTGTGGAATATAAAAAAACATGCAGGCAGAACTGTATACATAATAAATAAATCTTTTTAAAAAATGGGGAGGGGTTAGAGAGACAACTAAGCCATTAACTACACTGGCTGTCCTTTCACAGAGTTTGTTTTCCAAGGTCCACATGGAAGCTTACAACAGTTTGTTAACTGCGTGAATGTGGTGTAGACACGCATGCAGGCAAAAGCATACCTAAACACAGAAAATAAAAAATAAAATTTAAACTAGAGAATGCTCAACAAACACACCCAACATCTACCTCCACCCTCCACATCATATACATCCTTATGCACATATGCATGTGAAGGAGTACAGATATAAAATACAAATACACACACGGATTTTATGTTGAAAATAATAAAACCTAACATTTAGAATTCCTCTGATTTGAAAAATCAGGTCTTATTTTTCCAAAATATTTTAATACTTTAAGTCTCAATAAAATTTAGATTTTAAAACTCAGTATCTCATTCAAAATGAGAACTGTGTATCAAATAAATAATGTAAATAAATTCTTACTTGAAAAATGCGATAAGAAGATTAACCATAATGATATACTGTACAAAGAGGTAGACTGCCTGAAGAAATGGAGTCAGCCATGTGCCAGGACCACAGATTTCCTTGACAGAGGAATCATTTGCACACACTTTGGGAAGAGAGAAAAGAATTTTAAACATAATAGTTCAGTGTTCCAGGTTCTTTGTCTCAACAGAAAATTTGAGCATATGCAAATCTGCTTAGGAGTTTAAAAGATACGGATCTTTGACAGATCGCCACTGGAGCCTGCTTTACAAGGACTCCAACACTGAGGGCTCTGCCATACTACTGCACGGTATATAAGCAAGGGTTAGTACATGGTCATCTATCTGAAGACAGGTTAGATAAAACCCCAGATACAGTGAAATACAGCATTTATATAATAAAAAACTGAACTTAAATAGAATATGACAGATTCACAGTAAACTATATAAAGTTATAGACTTCATTATGTCTCCAAAGAGTACTAAAATGCATTTTAAATATAAAATTACTAGGTTTGGGGTCTGGAGAGATAGCTAAACGATTAAAAGTGAGGATCCAAGTTCAGTACAACACCTATGTTGGGTGACTCAGAACCACCTCTAACTGCAGCTTCAGATAGATCCCATGTTTCTGGCTTTCACAGGCACCTGCACTTAGGTGCACATACCCACACACAGACAAACAAATATAAACATAATCAAAAATAAATATATGTATTTTAAAATTTTGTTTTGTTTTCCGAAGCAGGGTTTCTCTAGGGCTGTCCTGGAACTCACTCTGTAAGCCAGGCTGGCCTCAAACTCATAAAGATCCACCTGCCCCTGCCTCCCGAGTGCTGGTATTAAAGGCGTGTGTCACCACTGCATGGCTTATAATTATATCTTTTAAAATGACTAGATTTGAATTCCTTGTTTCTATTATCCATACATGAAATACTTTTAAAGCTAGGACAAGCTAGGTAGGGCATAGTTTTAATATCCACCACAATTACAAGGAATAGCACAAGATTTATTTGGGTAGAGAAGGGATGAAAACCATTATGAATGAGAACAATTCTACATAATTATAGTACACTTACAGCTAGTATTTAGTCACTATTTTAAAATGTATACATCACTGAAGTTGTGATTATTACTATGTAGACGAGGCTTGCCTTAAAAATCAGACATCCTCCTCCTGTCTCTACATCCCAAGTGTTGGGACTAAAGTTCTATGACATTTTGCCCAGGATGTATATGTTTTATAATATCCATACAAAAAGACACTTAGAAAAATTGCAGGCAACAAAACCCTGAAAAATGACACTGAATGAGAAGTCATTGAATAAAAATTGACAGGTATATAAAACATCACTATTTTAGCTACTAGGGTTGTGTATGAGAGATCCAAGTGTGGGGCAAGGAAGAGGGAGAGAGAGTACACAGTGTACTCTACAGCTCAGATGCAGAGGTCAGTACACTCCTGAAAGTTGCTGCCAATCAGTCAAACTAAAAATTTACCTCACAGAAATGGGCAACAGACATAATGTTTTTTAACTAAGATTGAGTTGAACAGAAAGAGCTACTTCATTTATCAGTTTATTCAGGTTTTCAAAATTTTGATATAAACTTGAAAAAAATCACTTATTGCCTTAAAAGGTTGCCATCATGTAAGCTTTTCAGTTTTCACATAGGACCATTACTTCTGTCAGTGACCTCCCTGGCTTTGTCTAGGCTAATAATGGTACACTCTTCCATTACCTGAGAGGTATCTTTCCAACCAATAAGATTGGGGCAGACTTTTATTACATATTTTGTTTTTTTTCTAGTGTTAATGCATTGTGCAGGACATTTAAGTTTGACTGGAAAGCATACAATATATTTAGAATGTAATTCTAACTTTACAAGATAATCAAAGGATGATTTTGTAAACATTAAATTCTTACCATCGATTTCATATGCATACACTTCACCAAAAATCATCCAGTATGGATGAAAAACTATATCTTTAGCAAGAGACCAAGATGGTTCTTCATGAGGATAAAGTATTGCCTTTCTGGGAACACCAAAACTAAGTAATACAAGAGCCATTATCACTACAATGTAGAACATATTGGCGACCTGTTTTAAAAAAGGGGGGGAGGGGATACTGTTAAGACACAAGAGAATTTAAGTCCTGTAACAAATTTTCATCCTAAAAGGTGTTTCTAATGTTGTACTAGATAGTAGAATATTTGAGCATCCATTTATTGCTGATAATAGCATTCAGAAAAATGTTATCACTACATAATTCATAAACCTTATGAAGGAGATTATATTTAAAAATGATTAGTGAAGCTAAGCAAATCACAGGAGTCTTTGACTCTATAATAAACTATCAGTAGTTCAAAATATAGCCTATCCAATAAACATATCAAAAACTATAGTTACACGGGCAAATTTGGAGACTTAATTTCAGTAAATGCAACTCTTAAAGCTTGTTAACTAACAATGGAAGTGCAGACTTTCTTCCACTTTGCCTCATATATCTGTATTTTGCTCACGTCACAGAACCTGGGACTAGAGACATATACCACAATGCAAATCTTCAATATAAAGAAACGTAAAGACCCTTTTGAGTACAGCACAGATAAGAGGTCAATAACATGGAAGATAAAGTTTAAAGGGAAAGAATTGAGATGCAACCTTTGGAAGAAGCAAGATAAAAGCTAACAGGATTATTATTATTTCTTATAGCTCAATATGATCTCGAAATTAAAGAAAAATTACAGGAGCAAAAAAATAGAAAAGGAGGAAGGGATAGGGATGTAAAGATGAGAGTGAAGTGAGGGAGAGAAAGAGGAGAAGAAAGAAGGGAAGGAGAAAAGGTTGGTGTCAATGAGACACTTATCACAGGGAATAAGATGAAGGGTAACAGAAACAACCAATGTCATCTTCTGTCCACCACATATGTATATAAACACCCTCAGACACACACACATACATCACACACTCCACATAAACACACACATTGATGACTATCCTTAAGGAATGCAGATTAAGAGTATGAGGCAAACAAACCTAACTAACAGATATTTGTGGGTTCAGGTAAAGCTATATTAAAATATTTTTATAATTTTAAAGAAACAATTTATGCATTTCAGGAGACACTTCAACTTACCATTTTTCCAATCATCATTACATAAGGTCCTGCCTGTTGATTTACGGCTAGAAAATCTAGCAAACGCACATACCAAAATATTATATTAAGACAGTAAATTAATCTTCCAGCCACAAAAACATGATTATCATATGCATTCATAAAGTTCCATTTTGCTCCAAATCTTAGTCCAAATCCAATGAAGAAAGAAATTATGGCAATTGTGTCACTGACATTGAAGTAGTCACTAAACCACACTTTGATCTTCTGACTGATTTTCCCAGCTTCAGACATAAAGACCTAAAGATTTAACAAGAAAAAAAGGTAAATCAAGTCCTTTAATTAAAACATATATAGGATCCAACTGTACCACCACAGAAGAATTTTAGCTATATTTTAGTTTCAAAGTATCTGAGATCTTGTATCTGAAGATGTATTTAATAATAAAATAAAAAATTAACAGATAAAAGATTCCTCATGGGGGCAGGCATGGTGGCTGAACTATTTAATCCCAGAACATAGAAGGCAGAGACAGTCAGAACTATATAGTGAGGGCCTGTCACAAAACCTAAAACCACACAAACAGAAACAGACTTCTTTTAAATTACTTGCTCAGCAAATTGATGTAAGTAGGAAGCTGGAATGAGAAATGCTTTTGAAATGTTTTATTTCAAATCAAAATAGTATTTGCCTATACTGGCAATACATTTCAAAACTGCCTTATTTGCAGAAAGTAAATAATCCAATGATTGTAAATATCTAACTTATTAAAAAATCTACTACCCAAGTAATTAAAAGCATTACCTTTTGAGTAATATATTCAAAGATACAATATCAAAGTGTTTCCCAATAGTAATGCCTGCTTTTGCTTTCCCACGAAAGGCAGATACAATTAGTGCCATTCTCATAAATACATGCAAAAAAATGCTATGAATTCCTTACCATTAAACAAACTAATTTCAGCCATGTTGACAACAGATTTCAAAAACACATGGACTGCCATCATTAGGTATTTTAATAAGCTCCTGCAGGAGCAAATACAAGGGAAATACTATGCCTAACTACTTTTACAAAATTATTCACAAGTATACAGCAACTAGTTTAAACAGAAAATACTCAGGCATGCACATAGTACATATTCATACGCGCAAACAAAACACAACACAAAAGAGTCTTTTGGGCTGGAGAGATGGCTCAGTGAAGAACACTGGTTGCTCTTCCAAAGGACCTAGGTTTGATTGTCAGCACCTACATGGCAGCTCATAACTCATCTAGGAGATCTGATGCCCTTTTCTGGCTTCAGCTGGCACCAGACACACACATGGATTCACACACAAGCACCATTAAAACATTCATAAACATAAAATGAAATAAATACCTGGGTGGCGGCGGCACATGACTTTAATCCCAGCACTTGGGAGACAAAGGAAGGCAGAACTCTGAGTTGGAGACCAGCCTGGTTTAGAGAGAGTTCCAGGACAGGCTCCAAACTTACACAGAGAAACCCAGTCTCAAAAAACAAAAACAAAACTAAATAAACTAAATGTTTATTTTATTTTCGAAACAGGATTTCGAGGAGCCCAGACAGGTCCTCATATTCACTGTATAGCAGAAGATGATCCTTGACTCCTAAACCATTGAGCCTGCCTCCCAATGCTGAGATTATAGATGTATACTCCTATCCCCAGTCCTAAGATTTTTTTCCCCCTCATTAAACTTGTTTTAATGGATCTCAAAATTCTTTGACAGATTTTTGGTCAAGTTGTTTCCAATAAAAAGTAATGATTTTGAAAACTAATAACTTAAAACTGCCACACACAAAAAAATGGTCCACAAAACATTCTCTTTTCCTTCTGAAGGTTTTACGATGCATTGTTATCATTAACCAGTCTTTTACTATTAAACTTAAATGGCCAATTGAGACAAACAGTTCTGAGACTGTTCTTCCACCACTGATTAAGCCTGGGGTGGCAGGTGTTAGGGATAATATTCATTTAGCCTTCTGAGCTTTCTGGGCAGACTTGGTGACCTTGCCAGCTCCAGCAGCCTTCTTGTCCACAGCTTTGATGACACCCACAGCAACTGTCTGCCTCATGTCACGAACAGCAAAACTTTTTTTCCCCCTTCTCAAAATTATGGTGTTAGAAAATTGCCAATTTTAAGAGACACGAATAAATCCCACTGGTGATGGCGGCAATGCAGGGCACTCCAGGGGTTATACAGCCTAAGTGCTAAATGGAAACCTACCTTTAATTTACCTGACTACCACCATGCATATTCATTACTTCTGAAGAGTGTCTGAGATCATGTGAAACTTGAGGAAGATAAAAATAAAATCTGTTTTGATTTTGAGAAAAATTATTATATTTGTTAATTGTTGCAAAGTGAACATAAGTTACTAATAACCATTTTGTTTAGTTTTCCTGAGAAAGGGTTTCTTTGTGTAGCCCTGGCTGTCCTGGAACTTGCTCTGTAGGCCAGACTAGCCTAGATCCATCTGCCTCTGCCTTCAGAGTGCTGGGATTAAAGGTGTGTGTCAACAATGTCCTGCTTAACCATTTTAAGATCATGGTTTTCAGAATGGCAAAATAAACAAGCTCTAGACTTTCACGTATCACTGAAATTACAAGAACATACCCATAACCACAACAAAATTAAAGAATTTCGCATGCATCATGCATACATACATACATAGAGTTACTGGAAAGAAAAACTAGACATACCTCACGGACTTTCTCAATAGCATAGGTAAAAATATAAGCGATAACAATCCATTCTTGAACTGAAGGTAACTGTTCCATTTGTACAAGAACTACAAATGTATAAAGCATCAGAAATCCTAAGTATGCCAACTAATAAAAAAAGAAATAAAAGTTATATGAATAAAATTAATTACAAAACAAAACATTATGGACATATTTCTGTATACACAAAATCTAATTTGAGCTATGGAAAACTAGGGAAATGTAAAGACAAATATTCATGTGGCAACATTGGCTGGCTGTTTTAAGCAGCCACTAAAATGAATGCAAATGTTAGCAATCCTCATTACTTCCACTAGTGGGACAGAATTAGGGGATCAGATCATAGAGGTTTGCACTATCTGCATCTAGAAGGGACAAGAAATTTTCATAAAAAGAAATGTAATGAATTAATCTCAGGGTAATAAAGCATGAGTATGAGTGAAAAAGCAATGAACTATAAAATATTCGTCATAACACAAGACCATTTGTCAACTGTGGCAACTGTCTAGCACTGATAAAAGTGAACAAACACCATTACTTTGGTGGCACACGTCACCATGGACGAGCATCAGAAACTTCTAAGTGCAGCACTTGTGAAGCAGAGGCACGAGGATCAGGAGTTCAAGGCCAGCCTTGCTTACATATCCAGTTCAAGATAAAGCTCTGTTTCAAATAAACCAAAATTATCTTCTCAGACAAATATGTTCTTCCCTAAAAGATGCCCCCAACCAGACATCCAACTAGATGTTCTAACTAGAGAACCAACAATGAGTAAAAACTACATTTCAACATATAGATACACACTTTTATAAATTTATGCTTTTGTCACTAAATTTTCCCCACAGATTAAGAGAAGGGCCAATGCAGAACAATGGATCACATGACTATAGCAATGGTCATTGTAAATAAAGTCTGGATTAGTCTCTTCCTTCCATTTTAAAGCAGCAGACTTATTTATGAACATTTCTGAATGCTATCAGAACCATAAAACACAAATTACAAATTTATCCTTTTCAGTTGACCTTGTAGCATTATTTTTGTTTATTATGATTGTGTTTGATGCTTATGGTGTGTGTGTGTGTATGGAGGGGGGGAGAGCGCACATGTGGAAGTTAGAAGGCAACAGTGTAGATCTGGTTCTCTCCTACCTTTACAGTCATGTTGCCAGCTGTCAGCATTACTTTAGATTTTCCCTATCTCCATCAAGCACTGGGGGTTGAATGTAGGATCCCACACATGCTAAGCATATACCCCTACTAATTAATGGGCTATATTCACAACTTTAATATTAATATAAATTTATATTTGTTACCTTCTGTTTGTTTGCCTTTTGAAGACTGTACTGAAATTCTCTATGTAGAGCAGGCTGGCCTTGAATTCCCAGGGATCCACCTGCTGGGATTAAAGGCATGTGCCACCACAACTGGCTTATATTTGTTACCTTTTAGAAAGGCATATGCTTATAACATTATTTAATAAAATTTTAGTTCTAATCAGAAGTAAAATTTGTTAGTGCTTATTATTCTAGACATCAGTAGCTTAGATGAAGTATGCCAAATGTAATGCTCTTTCAATAAGGAATGCATTTTCAATGATCTAAATTATATGAACATTAACATGAATTCCAGATTAAAAATTCTCTAAGAAGCATCTTTTGTGGTGCATGCCTTTAATTGCAGCACTTGGGAGACAGGCGGATATATCTGAGTTCGAGGCCAGACCTGGTCTAAAGAATGAGTTCCAAGACAGTCAGAGCTACACAAAGAAAACCTATCTCAGAAACCAAACCAAAAAAAAAAAATCACACACACACACACACACACACACACAAACCACCAAACCAAACCATGAACATAACAACTCAGAAACATACCGTGTTAAACCAGAACTTTACAATTGGTGCATGATAAAAGGCATAAAACTTTCGTGTGATTGGAAGCTTTTTTGATTTAATATGCATCTCCATTTCATTCTTTCCTTCACTGCTGTCCAAAATCCTTACTTCTTTAAATACTTCCTAAAATTAAAAATATATATATTTGGCTTCTATTTACTCATAACAAACACATATCTGCTCTGAGGTCCTCCATCCTTACCATGGGTATCTCTTCTGTTATGTTGTGAAAATTGTTTTCACTGTCCTCCATAGTCATCTGATGAGCATCTTGAGATTGTGGGATATGGGACATTTCAGCCTTGGTTTTATACTCTAGCATTAATATAGCAGGTGGAACTAAAATGCTTAATATGACCTAGAATTTTGAGACAAAAAAGTTTCCATTTTAAAACCTTTGAGAATAAAACAGTAAGTTACACATGAATTATCTTTTGAGTGCTGCCAATTTTACTCCAAAACTGTAGAAAAAATTAAAAATTCATTTTTCTTTATATACTGTATCATCTAAGTACTATGGTAGTGTCAGCATAGGTTGAATAATCGATACAGAACTGTCCTTTAAACAAAATCATAATTTGTTAAAAAATACTTTTATTTAGAGGAAACTTAAACATTATGAAGGTGCTGTTGTTATTTTACCTGAGACCTCTCCTATAGCATGAAGACTCATTATTCAGTCATAAAGCAAAGTTTATTTCTAAAACTTTACATATCACTCTTATACAATCTTCTGCCTTCTAATTTTTTACTGTATTAAAAGATGTATGAGAAAATAAAAAGGAAGTTTAAAGTAGTATTTCTCATAAAGACAAAACTGAAAGGACTAACCATTTTGCCCAAATTCTTATCCTCAGATCCTGTATACATTGATATGCTGCACTAATCTATGTTATACTCTAGACACATGGATACATGTATTCAAAATACCTGAATACATGAAGTTTGCAGATGACAGGTCTGGAATTCTACAAATTAATAATCACTCATTTCCTCAAGTTCTAATTGCTGTCTATTATACTAGAAAATAATTTTACTATATGTATAGGCTAATTTGTATATAGTATGTATCTCATTATATACTTTAAATCGAAATCTAATTTTTAAAATACCTTATACCAGGAATTTTTTCTCATATTGAGCCGTCCCATCCACATATCAGATAACAACATCTGTGTACAGGTGTGAGCTACAAAAGGTCTGAGTCTTGATGAAACTGCTAACTTAAGGCAGGTTGAATTACTCCAGTTTTTCAGTTCATAAGTGAGTAATTTCATAGCCATGGTTTCATCTTGCCTGAAGGATTGTTCCAGTAATTCAACTGCTAGTTGGCCAAAATCACTACAGAACAAAACAAAATAAAGAACAACAACAAAAAACACTGAAGTATACTCAGGTAAAGAAACTGTAAGGTTGTTTTGTTTTTGCTGAGGATCAAACATGTTAGAAGCCGGGCAGTGGTGGCACACACCTTTAAATCCAGCACTTGGGAGGCAGAACTCTGTGAGTTTGAGGCCAGACTGGTCTATAAAAGCTAGTTCCAGGACAGGGTGCAAAGCTACAGAGAAACCCTGTCCAAACAAACAAACAAACAAACAGTACATCAGAAACTCTACTACCAGCTGGGCACTGGTGGCACAAGCCTTAAGCCCAGCATCTGAGATTTAGGGGTCGGCAGATCTCTGTGAATTCAAGGCCAACCTGATCTATAGAGTGAGTTCCGGGACAGGTTCCAAAACTACACAGAGAAACCTTGTCTCAAAAAACAACAACAAAAAAAAAAAAAAAAGAAAGAAAGAAAGAAAGAAAGAAAGAAAGAAAGAAAGAAAGAAAGAAAGAAAGAAAACCAAAAACAACAACAACAAAAAATTCCACTACCCTCTCCAAAAGAATAAATAAAATATAATTTAAAAATTAAGAGCTGGAGAAATGGCTCAACAGTTAAGAGCACTTGTAGCTCTTCCAGAGGACCTGGGAATATACACAATTCCCAGCACCCAAATGGAGAATAACATTTGTCTGTAACTCTGTCCCATGGGATATAACACTCCCCTTCAGGACTCCTTGAGCATCAGGCACACAAGACAAACATGGAAGCAAAATACCCATACATATAAACAAAAAAAAAAAAGTTTTTTTTTAAAGAAACTATACTACTGAGTTTATTTACACACCCAGTATAGAAAGTACACTTTTAACCAACTACTCTTAAATTATCCTAGAACTTTATTTTCTTTAATTTAATTTCTTTTAAGTTAATTTTTATGGGTATGTGTGTACCTAAGTATATGTACGTACACCACAAGTGTGCAGTGTGCAGAGTCCACAAAGGTCAGAAGAAGGCATCAGAGCCCCTGGAACTGGAGTTACAGGAACTTGTGAGTCACCATGTGGGTGCTGGATATTGAATCCAGGTCCTCTGGAAGAGTAGCCAGTTCTCTTAACTGCTGAACTAAATCTCCAGCTCCACATTTCTTATTTTACATTCCAAACAGAATTCTTAACATAATTACTATTAGGTACACTTATTTAACTCTCCCATTTCTTTCTTGCTTTCTGAAATGTTTAACATATCAAACAGCAAGAGTCTTTCAAATTTTTAAAATTACATAATGTACCTAAAATATTTGTCTTGGTTACACCAATAAACTCAATACCCTCCTCAACCCTACAAACATCCCTTTAAAGGCACAGAACCAGAGCATGCAGACAAACACTTTCATGTCACTTACTTGGAATACTGCTTCAGTTCCTCTGAAGTATCATCTACCAGGTCACTCTGCTTTGCTTCATACGCCATTGAACGATAGATCTTACAGGCAACTAATGCTTTAGCCATTGATTCTTCACCATGCTGCCATAGAAAGCGGGCCATGACCTGCCTCTTCATAAGGCAAGCCCAGATTAATAATTCATTAAGAGGATAAGGAAAGCGCTTGGTTTCTGGATCATCAATATCTACAATTTCATCTTTGGTTCTTTTCTTCTTCCCTTCTTCCATAGTTGCATCCATCTTCAAGGGAAATAAACATTGTAAGACTCACAATAAGGCCACATGAGGGCTGGGATTTAACTCTGCAGGACACAGACTGTCTACTAGGCAAAGAGGCTTGAATCTGACCTCCAGGATCTTAAACCAATAGTGACAGTAATAACAAGAGTCATATGACAACCATCTCTTTTTTTTTTCTTTTTTCTTTTTTGGAGACAGAATTTCTTTGTGTAGCCTTGGCTGTCACGGAACTTGCTCTGTAGACCAGGCTGGCCTAAAACTCACAAAGATCCAACTGCTCTGCCTCCCCGAGTGCTAGGATTAAAGGCATGCAGTACCACTGCATGGCTGAACGAAACTTTTAAATAAACAGCCTGTAAAAAATAATGTAAAATCCATGAATTTTATTTTTATTATAATTCATAATTCATTTTATAAAAATGTCAATTCAACAAAAAGGCTGAGTGAGACACATTCATAATATCTGAACTAATATCTGATAAAATTTAAATTAATAAAATTTTGTTGTATACATTATAATAAAAAAATAAAGTTGCTTAATTTTTAAATCTGGCTATTATCGTAGCTAAAACTGGACAAACAATACAATTATTAATTCATAATAATTTTATTCATGGAAAAATAAAGTCAAAATGTATAAAAGTTCCAAACCAAAAGATAATTCTTACTAAATCAAAGTTTTTACCTAGTAATACAAATTAGTAAAAAGCAAAATTTAGGAAGGATAATATTTTCATCTTTAATATGCTGAACAAATCTTTTAGGGGAGGCAGAGGGCTTAAGACAGGGCTTCTTTCTCTATGTATCCCTGGCTATCCTGGAACTTGCTCTGTAGACAAAGTGGCCTTGAACTCAGAGATCCACCTGTCTCTGCCTCCAAAGTGCTAGGATAAAAGGCATGTGCCATAACTGCCTGCCCAAACCTATTTTCGTTAAAGAATAAATCAACATACCTTTGGTCTGTAGGGTTGGGCTGTTTTAATGAAATGATTGTGTCTCATTTTTTCCTTTTTATCAGCTCTATTGCCAAAAGTCTCATGACTCTTTCGCAACTGAGGAGTGCTGCTAGAGGTATTTCGACCTGACCTCTGAAAATGAGAGTATTTTAAAAAGCTGACACATTATAAAAAAAATTCTAGAATAAATTATAAACATTTGTAAATGTTTGTGTACATATAAAAATAATTGGTTTAAGATTCTAACTACCATTTTCTCCCCCTTTCTCTTTTGAAAAAAAAATCTATCGATGTAGCCTATACTGGCCTTGAACTTTTGGCTCTTGCTTCTAGACACAAAGGGTGAGGACTACAAGTGTACCATGATGACTGCACTCATCCAGCCTCTGGTTGTAGCTGTCTCTCCTTTTCAGTGATAGCACTGTCTCTAACGTTGTCAAGCCTACCTAGCTCAGCCACCCAAGGAACTGATACTACAAATATGATCATGCTACCAACCACCTTAAAAATATTTTAATTACTTTTAGTCTGATTCTCAGGTTTTGTTTTATGACAGTTTAAGTAGCCCTGGCTGGCATGGAAGTCTTTGTAGACCAGGTTGACACTGAACTCACTGAGATTCTCCCTGCTTCTGCTGCATGAATGCTAGGATTAAAAGTGTGCACTGCCACATCAGCTGAAAACTCACATTCAAAGACAACTATCACTGTCACTATTCTAATGAAACGAACACTGTCCTTATATGATGAGAGGCATCTAATTTAGGGACTGACTTACACAAACTAAGGAAACATTCTATCTTGGAACTACTTTCATTCCCTTAAAACTTTGGTTGTTGTTGTTTTTGTTTTGAGACAGGGTTTCACCAGCATACTGGCTAACCTGTAACTTATTATTTGTAAACCAGGCTGGACTGAAACTCACAGCCATCCTCTTGTACCGGCCTCTCAAATGCTAGGATTACAGGTATGCCCCATCAAACTCAGCTCATATAACTAATTCTTTTGTGTTGTTGTTTTGTTTGTTTGTTTGTTTTTCGAGATCTGCCTGCCTCTGCTTTACAAGTGTCGAGATTAAAGGTGTGTGCTACCACTGACTGGCTTCTATAACTAATTCTTAACATTTAACCACTAAAACTATACATACCCGGTTATTCCCTCCAAGACTATTATATATTAATCGAAAACGTTTTCTTGTGTATGTGCATCTGTAGGTTCCTCCCATGAGATATTCAATCACAAGTCCAATATCAATTAGAGTGATCTTGTATCCTGGAGGAAGATTACCCTAGAAACAAAATATTAAATAGACAGGATAATATTATTCAATATTGACTTGCCAGACCTAGGAATAGACATAATTTGCTAAACTGAGAACTGTTATTTGTTATAAGAAATTAGGTTGCTCTTTACAGAAGAAATAATGAGTGTTTCTGTTTTCTCATAAAAGATGAAAAGGTTCTGACATTTCTGAAGTCTCAGGTATGACTTAAATCAGTCCAATTTAACTCAGAAAGACGCACCCCCCCCCCAACATTCCATACAGAGGCTATAAACTCTGAGAGCTAAATGCAGCACATATCATAATTTATTACATAAATTAAAGAAACATAGAAATGACATTTTGTGTTTATTAAGTTTAGTTTATTGCTAAATATGGCGGTAAACACGTTTAATCCCAGCATTTGGGAAGCCAAGATAGGCAGAACTCTGAGTTCGAGGACAGCATGGTCTACAAGAACTAGTTCCAGGATAGCCAGGGCCACTGAGAAACCTTTTTGTCTCAAAAACAAACAAAAACGAAAAACAACAACCCCCCGCCCCCCCCCCCCCCAAAAAACAACCATGGCTGGAGAGATGGCTCAGTAGTTAGGAGCACTAGCTACTCTTCCAGAGGTCCCGAGTTAAATTCCCAGCAACCACATGGTGACTCACAACCATCCATAGTAAGGTCTGATGCCCTCTTCTGATCTGCAGAGATACATGCAGGCAGAACACTGTATATATAATAAATAAATAAATCTTTTTCTAAAAAAATGTACTGTGTTCCATCTGACAGAAGCTTAGGAAATTGGGACTAACATCACAAGCTTTCATTTTCCTGGTATAGATATAGTAAGTTCTTTACTATAAACTTTTTAATTTATACACACACACACACACACACACACACACACACACATATGGTTATTTTGCTTGCATGCATGTCTGTGAACCATGTGTACCTGCCCAGAAGACAAAAAGAGACCAGATGCCCAGGAACTGGAGTTACAGACTGTTATCAGGTACCATGTGGGTGCTGGGAATAGAGTCTGCGATCTCTCCATTGCTATTCCAGCTGAGCCATCTCTGCAGCTCTAAGTTCTTTACTTTTATGACAAAGATAGTTCTTATTTTACCTTGTACAAAAAGCTCTTGTTTCTATTCTCATTTTAAAAATGCATTTAGGTATTTTGAGGGCAAAAATAAAGGGCAAATGACTGAAAGGTCAAGTTTTTTTATAACAAAGAAAGTTTCTTACCTGTTTGACATCTCGAATGAGATGGAACAGCATTGGATTAGTTGGACCTTGTTTCTTTAGGGAAAAAAAAAACCTATTAGCTTTGGTCTAAATTAAACAATCTCCCTTTTTGTTACTTATAGTACTTACAAAGACCCTCTTGAACAAATGCTAAAGATTTCCTTGCTAATGGAATCAATTTTTTTTTTTACATTTGGTTTATATTTCAGGGAGAAACTTCATATAACAATGAGTAATCCTATTAATTTTTTCATCAATTAATAAGAGACAGGACACAAATAAAGTTCAGTGTAATTATACTAGATAATATTAGTGGATAAAACTATAACCCTATTCAAAAGAAATTTATAACCCATGGAAGAAGACATAATCCTTAACTAGTCTAGTAGGTTTCTTGGAAGCAGTGGAGGAATATGTGAGCTACTTTACACACAGAATAAAATTTCAATAAATGAAAACTAGACAGAAAAAAGCAAGCCAGCATTATCAAGAAATCAGTGCTTTTCTAAATAGCTTGTGTGTTTAGAAAATGGTAGGTAATATACTCAACACCCACATACACTATTTGAGGTTGAAGTACCAAATAAAAAGATGAAGTGAGAAAGATAGGTAGGGTAAAACTGTGGCTACCATCTAGCATAGTGACACAGGCCTTCAATCCCAGCACTCTAAGGCAGAAGCAGTCCAACTTTTATGAGTTCTAGGTCTAAACTGAGCCTGGTCTAAACTGAGAGTTGCAGATAGGCCATGTCAACATAGCGAGAACCTGTCTATTTCTGAAAACAATCAAGCTATATGGTGTAGACACGAAAGAGTCACCAAAAAATTCTCAACTATAGAATGACAGCAAATTATGTTATTATAAAAACTAAAGAATTTGATCAAGGTAAGACATTAAAGAGATATAGATAAGAAAACTAAAATGCAGAATAGTGGCAGTCAAGTCAATTAGAGATGACCAAAAACATCAGGAATAAAAAAGTAGTAGATATTGATGAATTAGTATACAGTTTTCTAGAAGTTACAAAACTTGGCTTTGCTTATTAGTATTCCTCACAGCATAAGTCAATTAAATTTGCATTAGATCCACCATGTATCTGTCCTCTCTGAAATTATGAATTATGAAATATGAATTTAAAAAAAGATTAAGTTTGCCGGGCAGTGGTGGTGCACACCTTTAATCCCAGTACTCGGGAGGATCTCTGTGAGTTCGAGACCAGCCTGGTCTACAAGAGCTAGTTCCAGAACAGGCTCCAAAGCCACAGAGAAACCCTGTCTTGAAAAACCAAATAAAATAAAATAAAATAAAATAAAATTAAGTTTTTACAAGAAAAATGGGGAAAATACACCAAAAGAAAGATGCCAAAAGGTCAACAACCATAAATTTAAGTAATAAGGAAAAACATTGTATATGTTTTCCAATAAACAAAAGAATAAAAAACCAAAGTAACACATCATCCTCTAAATAAGAATTCTATCCTATACTTTTAAAAGGAAAGAAACAAAAGAAATGATGGGTTATTATTATATCAACACTTTTCCCATATGGCTACGTCAATAGAGAAGGGCTTCTAAAACTGGAGAGTAGCTTCAGACTGTCATATAAGAGTCAATACTAAGAATGGCTGTATTTCTCTACCCATAACAACTAAAAAACTGAAAACTATCAATAGGAGTATATATTTTTAAATAAAATGACATTTTAAAGACAATAAAACAACGAACAAAGAATTTTGTCAGACTTACAGTGTTATAAAGTTCTTCCAATCTAGGGATGGTAAGGAATTTATGCATGCTCACTCCATTTTCAATGAGAAGTTTTACAAATGAAACTCTATCCATTACAAGAGCATCAAGCATAGCTTGTTCTAAGGATCCAACCTAGAATAACAAAATAAATATATTTTATATGTTCCACCTATTGACTCCTTAAATACAAATTCCTATGATTTATACCTATATTTCTCAAACAGTGTGGAAACAAATTGAGAAACAGGCAGAACAGTAACCTAAGATTTTTAGAGAATGGATAAATAAAGACCTACATTTCACAGGATTCTCTAATAACATTACATAAATGCTCTATCTGTAAGACAGCAAATGTTGTGTGGGGGTGGGAGAAAGAAGCAACACAGTCCATCATCAATAAAACTGAGAAAACAGAGACAGGAAATGCTCAGGGGGTAAAGGCACTGGAGTAAGAGAGGTATGTTACTCACTCTATTTTAGACATGCTAGATGCAAGCCAGGCTGGCTTCCTACAAACTAGACAAGTACTCTATCTGCCACACTATATCCCAGATCTACTTTTAATATTTCATCACTGCATATTTAAAAAGAACTTTGTAGCAAAAATTAATTTGGAAATCATTGTTTTACACTGTTATTTTAAATATTTTGATTCTTGCTGGCCAATGGTGGAGCACATCTTTAATACCAGCACTCGGAAGGCAGAGGCAGGTGGATCTCTGTGAGTTCAAGACCAGACTGGTCTATGTAGTGAATTCCCTTTCTCAGGTGGGGGAAAAACTTAAATATATTTTGATTCCGTCCTCAAACATTTTCCACACAACTACAGTTTCCCTCTAGTATCTTATATCACTCTCCAATTCATTTTCTGTTTTCCTTACTTAAAGGACGATATGGTCTCTAATGTATTTTTTTTAATGATCCCCCTCCCCCCCCTTTTTTTGGCTTTTTGAGACAAGATTTCTCTGAATAGCCTTGGCTGTCCTGGAACTCATTCTGCAGACCTGGCTAGCCTCAAACTCAGAGATTCACCTGTTAAGAGCTGGGATTAAAGACATGTGCCACTATTGTCTGGCCTCTAATGTTCTACTTGGTAACCACACATACTTGCTATACATGATAAAATCTCAAGACAGAAACCTTTTTTAAAAAATATTTTTAACTACTTGGTTTTGTACAAGGAAAACATTTTGATGTTATACAAAAAAATAAGGTCAAACTCACAAGAATGTAAATTTTTCTAAATTAACAGCTTAAAATTTATCATGGATGTTATTTCTATTTTAAGTAAGATTATTTTCTGTCATCACATGTAATTGTTATGTTATTAATTTACATTCTAACCTTACTCTATTTTCCTTTTGATCCTATGTTCTACTCTATACACTATATTTACCCTTTAATAAGCCAGACACTTTACAGGCATTGCATATATAAGGGAGGGGGACATAAAAAAAAAACATTTGCTGTCAAAAATGTATTTCCTAAGAGTAGAAAGATAAATCATGAATGCAGAGTAAAGTGAGGGACTGCATAGGAACCATACTAAAACCAAGGCAGGTCACAGCTCTGTACACAGAGCAAGAGTTCCAAGACTTTTTAGTCTTTGAGAATTTTTATATATTATTAAAATTAAAATACCTTAGATATTATTAAGAAACAAAGTCATTAAGAGAATATACCTCACTAATATTTACACTTGGAACAGAAAAGTAAAATCTGAGTATAAATCACAATCCCAATAAATAGTTAATAGTCACTCCTTTCTGCGGTGGGGACTAGTTCCAGGACCCTCTTCTGATACCAACTTCACAGAAGCTCAACTTTTAACAAAATGATGTACACTGGCTATGGTAACACAAATATCCTATCTCTAGATTACTCAAGATACTTAGTTTAACAGAGCAGACATTAACACTACATCGATTATGGAATAAGAAAGGAAATTTCTGTAGTCTAATTACATAATACTCACTTTGTGGCTGGGGGAATCCACGGATATAAAACCTATAGCTACTAAGTGTCCACTGTAGCTAATTTAATTATATTTATTTGAAGTATCTACCTACCAGCCACTGCTGTCCATAAACAAACACATGATTTTTGGCAATATCAACTCTGTCCCATGCCAGTGTAAGGATAAGCTGGTCAAATGCAGATGCATTAGTACCTAATTGAATAAAGAAAACAGTTGGTGAGCATATCTCCATCAATTTGCAAGCATTTACAAACTCTCCTTAGAGCCCTTTAATTTACACAGCTGGCATCAACCACCATGGAGCATTTGTATTTTCAAGTGTAAAAACTACATCACCTCATTAGTTGAAAAAGAAAAAATCAGAATGTAGGAACTGAGAAACCAAAAGATTATTTGTTTCTATCACAGACACAGTATTTCAAGGATTCTGAAAAATGTTTTGTTATTATAAAGATTTATTTATTATGTATACATTGTTCTGCCCAGATGTATGCCTGCATGCCAAAAGAGGGCACCAGATCGCATTATAGATGGTTGTGAGCCACCATAAAGTTGCTGGGAATTGAACTCAGGACTTCAGGAAGAGAAGTCAATATTCTTAACTGTTGAGCCATCTCTCCAGCTCTGAAAAATGTTTTTTTTAACGTACTTTTATGCACATGAAATTATAGCCATATACTTTAAATTATTAAAACAGGAATATACTTTTAAAATGGGGGGTTATTAAGTGGGATCTGAGGGAGCTCAGTGGATAAAGGTACCTACTCCCAAGCTTGTCAACTCGAGTTCCATCTCCTGGTACCACGGGGTAGAAGGAGAAACCCAACTCAAGTTGTTCTCCAATCTCTACACATGCATCATAGCATGTTCAACTGTACATGGGTGTACACACCACACATAAATACATGCATTTTTTTAAAGATTGAATAAATGGAATCAGTGATGCTGTGAGATAATGCTCTTGTATAAAGATATGTCAGTCGAATTAGTTTATGAAAAACACTGATTGGCCAGCAGCCAGGCAGGAAGTATAGGCAGGGAGACCAGACTAGGAGAATTTTGGGAAGAAGTAAAGCAGAAAGTCAGTCATCAGCCAGACCACAGAACATAAGAATGCCTTACTAAGAAAAGGTACCAAGCAACATGGCTAAACATAGACAAGAATTATGGGTTAATTTAAGATAATTATGGGTTAATTTGAGTTTTAAGAGCTAGTTAATAATAAATCTGAGCCAAAAAGCCAAACAGTTTGTAATTAATATAAGCCTCTATGTGGTTCTTTGGGACTGAACAGCTTCGGGACTGAGCAGGACAGACACTTCTGCTTACACAGGAATAAGAAGACGGCAGAGTGAATAAAATATTTGCTTTGTGAACATGAAGACCTGAGTTTCAATTTCCAGCACTTTAAAAAAAAAAAAAAGAAAAGAAAAACAGATGATGGCAGAAATGCAACCCTATGGCTTGGATGGGGAGGAGAGAGACAGGTAGATCTCTGGAGCGTGCTTGCCAACAAGTCTCACAGGATCAGTGAGCTCCAAGTTCAGAAGTGCTTTACTCTGGACACACACACATAAACACACAGAGAAATGGGGTCACAGACATATACACACAGAGTGACAGAGAGAGATAAATGGAGTCACAGATAAGCATGATACGTAGCATTTGTAAAATCAGTATTGGGAGGCTACATCAGGAGAACTGCACTGAGATTAAAGCCAGGTAAATCTACAGAGCAAGTATGACTAAAAAAATGCAAGTTTAGTAGCTGTCTTATGAGACTCACTCTACATAGCTTTCCTTAACAGAATACATAATTTTACTTTGTATGTATTAATCTTTTAAGCATGATTACTTAAAAAATTCCAGTTCATAGATATTTAGGTTACTGTGAAATTCTTCAAGTATATTTTAGTTAGTGCATATGTGATTATTTAAATAGAACAGTTCTCTAGAGGTTAATTTTCTGGACATAAGAATATCACTTTAAGTCTGGTGGTGGTGGCACACACCTTTAATCCCAGCACTCAGGAGGCAAAGGCAGGTGGATCTCTGTGAGTTTGAGGCCAGCCTGGTCTACAGAGTAAGTTCCAGGAAAGCTAGAGCAGTTACAGAGAAACACTGTCTTGAAAAACAAAAATCAAAAAGAATATCCATTTAAAGATTCTGATATATTCAGGAAACTTGTACCATTTACAAAGAAGATCTGTACTTCTCTATAAGGAAGGGGAGGGAGTGGCATTTATTTAAAATTCATTTCTACTTATTATTATTATTATTATTATTAGATTTTTGAGATAAGGTTTCTGTGTAGCCATGGCTATCCTGGAACTCACTCTGTAGCCCAGGCTGGCTTTGATCTCAGAGATTTGTTGCCCTCTGATTCCCCAGTGCTGGGATTAAAAGTGTACATCACCACTATCCAGTAAAGATAATTTACTATTTTTAATAAATTAAATTTATTTTCTAGGGTTGACCATCCAGTACTGAATTACTTACTATATTTATAGTTTCTGGGTTTCTTAATACTTACACATCTATTAATCCCAAGATGATACATACTTAATTATATAATAATTTTTAAATTATTAAAAAAATACTGGCAATTTGCTGTGGTCTAATATTGCGAACATCTTTATGGATAACAAAACAGTGCCCTTTTGCTCCTGTCAAATATGTTGTTTTCAGGTACCCAGATAGGACACTATTTTCATTTCTTATTTTTGAAAATATTTTTTCACTGTGACATTTTGTTTTATCAGTGGATATCTCTGGTAAAATTCTGGGAGAAAAACAAAGTGCATATATATCAATCCCTTAGTCCTAAAAGACAACACTAGTTTTCAAATTTTCTTCAAAAGACAATAGCATATTCCACACCTTGTTTGAGATGGAACATTCTAGAGTCTGCCCTTTAAGAGGCACTCGAGCCCCTCTGGGGTCCAGCTATCTCTGCCTCCAGCACTGGGGTTACAAGTGCACAGTACCACTCTTGGCCTTTTATACAGATGCCTGTACAGCAAGCATTTTACCTATATTCACAACTGCCACATGGTTTTTTTTTAATTAAAAAACTGCTTTGATCATGGTTACTCTATCTCTTCAACATCATGTTCTCTCCTCCCATTAAACATATACATGTGCATAAAATCACACACACAAAACAACCCCAAAATGAAAAAAAAAAGCCAATAATACAAAATTTAAAAAGACCAAAATGAAACAAAAATCCCCTCTATAAAAATAAACCATGGATTCCAGGACTGGTCCCAGGCCCAGAAATAACTGGCCAATATAAAACCTATCACAAGATTAAGGAGTTAATAGAGCCTGGAGGCATAAAGTTAAAAAAATAAAATTCTACAAGAGAGAAAACTACAAATCTATAAAACTAATTTTTTGTCAAACTAAAAATTAACGTCTTTCATTAAAAAAAGATTGAAAAACCCCCTCCTTAATCGTTTGTTAAATGAAAAGTCCTACCTTATATAAATAAGACATAAATTAAATATAATTTTATAAGAGTTTAGAATCTTACCTTTTTAGTCAATCATGGTGGCTCAGACCTTAATCCCAGAACTTGGAAAGCAGAGGCGGGAGGATCTAGGTGAGTTCCAGGACAGCCAGGACTATGAGAGATAGATCCTGTCTCAAAAAATAAAACAAAATAAAAAAAAAAAATTTACCTTTTAGCAGTGCAGTAAGTATTGCAACATCTATATCTTGATGTTCCTCTGATCCAATGTGGAAAACAGTAATCTATTTAAAAAAAAATTAATATTATGCATTTTTAAAACCAAAGTATTATAAAACAAAAATGATTTCAAATAATACAAAGAAAGATATTTATATAGAGATTTGTACAGAAACAGGACTGGCAAGATGGCTAAGTGGGTAAATTAGCTTGCCATAAGTGACGATTTGAATGAGGATGCTTCCAGTAGACTCACATTTGAATTGTTGGTAGAACTGTTAGGGAAGAATCAGGAGATGTGGCGTAATAGGAGGAGGTATGTCACTGGAAGTGAGCTTTGAGGTTTCAAAAGCCTACACTATTCCCAGTTAGCTCCCCTGCCTTGTGGCTATTGTTTCAACATGGAAGTAACATAAAAACTCTCAGATACTGTTCCAGCTCTGTGTCTGCCTGTTGCCATGCTCCCTGCCATGATGATCATGAACTCACCCTGTGAAACTGTTAAGACCGCATTAAATGCTCTTTTATTAAGTTACCTAGGTTATGGTGTCTCTACACAGCAACAAAAAAATAATTAAGACACCATATAAAACTGACAATTAAGTTCAGTCTCAAGAAGCCATGTAAAAGTAGAAGGAAAGAACTGACTCCACAAAGTTGTCCTCTGACCTCCATGTATGTGCACAAAATCATATACACATATGTAATCATTTTTATACAGAAATAAATTTTTGAAGTCATGTACATATTTCTGTAACTACTCAGATTTCTAGATGTAGACATAAGTGATCTAACATTTTAGCCCTAATTTAACCCTAGTTTAACCCAAAACAAAACAGAAAATTAGAGTATCACTAATTAAATATCAATGAATTTTCACAAGTAGTTTGTTTCATATCACATTCACTTCTTTTTAACCTATCTTGTGTCTGCCAGCTAACTAAGCAGTTTGTGGGCAGAGGCTAGAGATCACTATCAGAACAAATCATGTTGCTCTTTCTACAGAGTGAGCACTTATTCGAAAGATTAATGTATTCCTCTTTCTTTTGAGGAAAGTTCTTACAATACAGTCCTAGTTGTACTAGAACTCACAGACCTCCTGCCTTAACCTCCAGGTGCTGACATCACAGGTATGTACCACTATGCCTTGCAACACATGCATTGTTGGGTAAGGCATGTAGTGAAATATAAAACCATTTAGGACATTTCTACCTAGGTACTTTTTAGAAAGAAAAAATAATTAATACACAAATACAAAGTTTTCAACCAATTTCATTTCATGGAGAACAAAGTCTGCAATGAAATAAAATGCAAATTAACATAATCAAAGCCAAAAGGTCAAGAAGGGACAACAAATCTATGTGTTTTTTTTGTTTTGTTGTTTTTTTTTTCCGGGACAGGGTTTTGCTGTAGTTTTAGATTTTTAGAGCCTGTACTGGAACTTGTAGACCAGGCTGGCCTAGAACTCACAGAGATCCGCCTGCCTCTGCCTCCCAAGTGCTAGGATTAAAGGCACCACCCCTGGCTCTATATTTCTATCTACTCACAGAACGTTAAAATTTTGTCTCTGAAAATACACATCTATGTTTACATGTATGAAACTAAGCAGCACCTAGATTTAGTAGTCTTCAAAAGAATAAAAGGCTTAAAATATTTTCCCAAATATTTTATTAGAGAAGCCACTAGCAACTACAGTTTTTCTTTTTCCTGTATATGTGTGATCTGCACACAGTATCCACATAAAGGCAAAGGGCAATTTGCAAGAGTTGGTTCTCTCCGTAAACCAGGTAAATTAGAGGGATCAAATTCAGGTCATCAGGTTTGGTAGTAAGCACCTATAGGCACTGAACCATGCTGCTTGTTCCTCTGCAGTCTTCTTAAATACTAAGCACAGTCAGTTGAGACGCAGCTATAAAAAAATTCCTTTGAAAGAATGATTACAATGTCAACACTATATGAAAATTAGGTTTTCTATGCCATCACTCAGCTGAAGAGCAATAAGAAAATAATAGAACAACTTTAAAAACTTAAAACACAAACTAAAACCTGAAGAATTGTATGAATTAGAATGTGCTTTAAAAGAAAAGATTTATTCTGCTGAAAACTACTCACAAGCTCCTTTTTTTTCATGCACTCCATCAATGTTTGAAATAAATGAACCGCTTCACTCTGGCCAAAGTTAAAGGTTTTTTTGATAGTTGATATAACATCAGGCTCCGCTGCATCGGGAAGATTCCTGGTAGAAGAAGAAAAACAACTTACTTCACTCATTTCATCTTCTCTGTAGGATCAAACGAAGTACAGGTAGACCCATGCAAGGCTTCTGAACGTTCTGTAGTAATATTAATAGTAACTTCCTGAGACACCCATTATTAAATCTATGGCACAAGAAAAGGAATGGAGTATTTTCACTTTGAATAATTTTGTGAATGTTTTAAACAAAGTATATGGTGTAGTATTAGTACTCAGATTTTACAAGGTATCATATGGATAATTCTATATTATGGCTTATAAAATGATTTACCAAGAAGTCTTCAACATGGACACATTTACCCAGATCAAAGTATCAAAATGCAGGAGTTCATGATCAAAGTCTCCATTTGCCTAGTTTCACGTCACTTCTTTTCAGGAATCACCATCAACCAGTGTGAGGTTCTGTTGAATAGTCCTTTACACTGTGTGATAATATGTTGTTGTGAGTGGTTTAATAAAGAAGCTGACTGGCCAATAGCTGGACAGAATAAAGTTAAGCTAAGTGGGAGAACCAGACTAAGAACACAGGGAAGAAAAAGGGCAGAGTCAGGAGTCAACCAGCTAGACATGGAAGGGGAACAGAAGGTACAAGACGAAAGAGTGGAAACGCCATGTGGCAGAATGTAGATTAATATAATATAAATGGGTAACTTTAAGTTGTAAGAGTTTGCTAGTAACAAGCCTGAGCTAGTGGCCAAGCATTTATAATCAATAAATCAAACTGTGGTTATATTGAGAGCAGTTGCCACACACGTTCCATTTTTACTCAGCTATAACCATTCTACTGTACAGATATGCCAAAATTTATTTGTTTAGGCCTTTTCTGGTAGATATTCTACTATGTCCTTATCTTGTCTAAGATATTTTACATAAAATTTTATATAAGTGTTTACCTGTAGAAACCATTACATGAAATTAAACTATCAGGTCAAAGGTATGTCTCAGAAGTAATAATTATTTTCTAAAAATGACTACACTTTAGTTCATTCCAATAGTGTATGACACAAGCTACTGCCCTAGGTCTGAAGAGAGTATTTTATTAAAACTGAGATTTTCATGTTCATTTAATAGACAAAGGTGTTCATGTGGGGCTATTCCACCTTGACTGGAAGTCAGTGAGTTTGAGCTTATTTTTGCTCTCTCAAAATTGCTGATAACAGATATGGTTATAAACAAGATTCTGACCTAGAGTGTGATTAATTAATATTTTGGGTATAGAGGTGGATCTGCTTCACCTGGACCAAAGGTTGGAGAATTCAAGTCTATTCCTTATATCATGTTAACGAAGTCTACTGCATCCTACCTCCCCACTTTGGAGGGAGTGTGTGGAAAATAAACGAGGCAAATTCAGTATTCACTGAATTGTCCTCCAGGTACTATCCTATGTCTCTGTGTTTCTTTCATATGTCTGTTCTTCCTAGCTAATGTTTCTAATCCATACCCCCTACCCTGGAACATACAAACCTGTAGTAAGTCACCCCCAAAATGTGGCTTACAGCTAGTTTAGAACTGCACAACCTACCAGACTCTAATTTATTTTATTGTGAAGCTGGCTATATGCTATACTCACCCTCCTTCTTCTGTCTGCTTATGGATATATGCTAGTAAATCTGCAGCTCTGCCTGTCCCTTCACACACAACAACTGGAACAGGGGGACTTTCCTGAAGATACTCCAGCACTGTAAGGATGACATTTGGGCCACCTTCAAATATCAAAGCCACCACAGGAACACCCTGCCCAATTCCTAAAAAGGATAAAAGTTTAATTAGTAAATCTGACAAAAATTCAGTAATTTAATATTACTTATTTTAAATAAAAATTAAAAATAAGATAAAATTTCTTATGAGACAGTTGGCTTTACTTTAAGCATTGTATGTTAGTAACAGCCAGTCTCAAATAATGGGGCACTAAATAATCACTAACATCTGCTCTGGGTGATAAAATCAGGAAATTCAATAAATGATTCAGTGCCAACCAGAATCTGTATATTTACTGAAAACAAATTTTTGTGTGTTTATTAATTGAGCTCTTGGCAATATATGTATAAGGATTAATTTGTGGCTTAGTTTGCCTAGTTTCTCTGCTTTTATTATTTTTCAAAGTCTTGCCATGTAACCCAGGCAGCATTAGAATATAAGAATCTCCTGTCTCAGTCTCCTGAGAACTATGATTACAAGCAAAAGCCAGCACAGGGTGCTTATTTTACATTTTAAGACTGTATTGGTTGAATTTCTAACATATACCGACTTTCATTTTTAATAAGAATCTAAAACATCTACAAGAAGAAAAAATTAGTAAAAAATATTTATTTTCATTTTACAGCAACCTAAAGTGTGGTGATAAAAGACAAACATTTCTAAGCACAGGTTTATAAATCATCACTAGTTCTCGGGGTACAAGTCGGCTTGATGAGAAAAGCATCTGACAATATGAGTTCAATTACCAAGTCTCACAGTAGACCTTGAGAACCAGTCACCAGGAGCTCTTCTGTGACCTCCAATCATTCCACACACAGACACGGGAGGGGGGGTAATAAAATAAAAATAATCTGTATGTTGGTCTATGTACCATGTGTGTGTCTGGTGCCTTTAGAGGTGAGAAGAGGGCATTGTATCCCCTGGAAATGCTGTTACAGACAGTTGTGGCCACCATGTGGGTGCTGGGAACTGAACTCAGGTCCTCTCCAATAGCAACAAGTGCTCTCTACTTCTGAGCCATTTCTCCAGCTCTAAGGATATTTTTAAAATAACCAGTTCACACAAACATTGTGAAACTACTATGTGTGCACTTCTGTTATCACTCTGTCAGAGTTCATCTTTTTTCTGTACTAGGGTTACAGAACTCCTTCTACATATAATAAAATATAGAAGCTAAAGGAGAAAGTTCAGTCACAGTTGGAAAGGAAAATCTTCCAAAAATATCAATTTTAAGATTCATTTGCCAACATCAATACAGACTCACCTAATAAATTTTAGGCAAAGTTCATTCTCACTTAACTGGTATTATTTCTTTTATATTGCTTTTATATCTTTTTTTTTTTCTCATGACAGGGTTTCTCTATGTGTAGCCCTGGCTGGCCTTAAATTCACAAAGATCCAAAAGTTACATATTAGCATTACCACATATTAAGACTGTTAGTAAGTACTTTGAGCTACAGTTTATTACAAGAGCAACAAAACCAAAAATAAATAAATAAATACATTTTCTTTTTGTAGGTCTTAGTATTTTGTTTAAGATCAGTCATTTTTGGATGCTTTGTAGGTGTGCTTGCTATGTAAACAAAAGTGTACTTACTTCACAGAACACGCTACCTTTTAAGTATGCCGCTGGCTACTAACACAATTTTGAATAATTAAACAGTAACAAAAGGGTGAATTCTTACTAGCATGAATTCTTTGCTGATTAATGGTTTTTTCAAGTTCTCTTCTCAGTCTGACTTCCGCCCCATACTTTCCAACAGTGCCATCATCCACCAATATGAAATGGGAGTGGAGATTATTCAGAACATTCAGTTTGCTCAGGGGATTCAATAGGGTTTGGTAAGGAGCAACCACCTAAACAAGAGCAAAACAAGAGACAGTGGAAGAAAGCTGAATGTAACATAGTATAAGTTAAATTCTGAAGTGACCCACAGATAAAAGATAAAATTCTATTTTCATTTGAATATAAAAAGTATACGCTTTTAAGTATTTGAAGATAACAGATTAAATCACATAATTACTCCTTTTTGCAAAATTAAGTTTTTTATTATCACATGCAAATGGAGCAATAAGGAAGTATATATACAGTGCTAATAAATTATAAGGTTATTAAGTGAGTACAATACAGTATACAATAAAAGCAGTAAAATATGATAGTGCTGTTTTCTAAAACATAAATACAACCCTTTCAAATTGACATTGAAAATTTAATAACACTTGAAAATTATCTCCATAATTACAGTTTTTGTTGCTGTTTTGTTTTTTGAGACAGGATTTCACTATAGTGCATTGGTTAGTCTGGTACTTGCTAACAGAGATCAAGCTAGCTTCTAACTCAAGACCAGCCTGTCTCAGACACTACTGCTGCATGATGGCATTAAGGCCTGTGGCACCGTGCAGTCAACTTTATTTTAATAGTCTCATGATGAATATCTACAAACAAATTCACATTTTCAACCTATTCAAATAAAGCACCATCATTTGATTCCTACTCTTAATGACAAAATTAATCCTTAATGTTATAACCAGCAGGCTGATCTCTGAGTTTGAGGTGACCCTGGTCTACAGAGCAAGTTCTTAGCACAACCATGGCTCTCAAAAAACAAAACAAGCAAACAAATCAATTACAAATACTAATATGATGTGGAAGACATGTTAACATTCTACATAAAAGACAGAAAACAAAAAGTACCAACAATATTACAAGCATTTATATTGATAAATGCATTATCCAAAAAAAATCAAAAAAGGGTGCTGGAAATTTTGTTTTAAACTTAATGTGAAAGTATAATATAGCCTACAAGTTGAAATTTAACACATGCAAAACCCATTCTTACATCTCTCCCAACAAGATCGTTTCTGTTTTCTATCACTCCCCATGGAGCTATTCCAATAGTGCAAATCTTTCGAGATGATCTGGAAGCATGCTCTTTGAGGGCATCACCAACATGTTTTGCCACACCTGTTCATACAAAATTTATTCACCATTAGAAAAAAACCCTGAATTTACTTTATAATATTACAATTCATGATTTTTCTTTAAATAGACGATTCTAAGGCTGCAAGATCCAAAGTCAAGCTAACAAAAAATTTAAGATAACCAAACAGATTGACAAAACAAAACCCCACAATATCATCTCAAGTCCAAAACACTTATAAATCAAATCCTATCACATTGGTAGGTAGGCCTAGTACTAAAATACCAATATATCTTTTAGTTTGCTTCTCGTAACATATTAGATCTCATCTTTCATATAAAACATAGAAAATAACATCCACTGAGTTCCTTGCTTACAGTCTATTTTCAAAAAACATTCAAGAAACTTTGTTCTTACCAATTAGCACCTTAAAACCTTCCCTTCTTATTCAAAAGAAAAAACCACAATGTTTGTAATGGCTTCTAAGACCTTAAAAAGCATCTGTCCATTACTGGTAGTAAGCACACTTCCATTATCATCATGCTTTCCTATCTCCCAAGAACTTCTGACCAACTCTGCCTGCTTACTATCCCTTAGTGCCACACAGGAAATGCCTCATTCTTGCAATACATCAATGATTTTCTCTTCTCTACACACTCCGTCCCAAGTTTTACTGTTCCTTTGTTTCCTACCATCTTTCTTGAAATATTAGCATATCAATAAAAATCTGCTTACTCTTATCAACTTGACTGAATTGAAAAGTGAAGAGACAGTCAGGTCTCCATGTCTGCATAGAACTGATCATAAAATACACTATTCATACCTAAATTATCCTCTTACTGTTTACATAACCCCCACTATAATACTGAAAGTGTCTATTTTAAAGACCAATATATACCCTACAGCTCAAAAAATGCCTTATAGTAAGGTTCAATAATTATCAATAATGAATGAATGAGATGCTTAAGATGATTTAAATAAATAATTATGCTTAGCTTTAATCATTAAAATTAACCCATCCTCCTTATATTCAAAATTAAAACATTATACAAAAGACCAAAAAAAAATATTGAATGAAGGGGAATAACATATGAAAAATTAATTTTTGAAGGCTACTTTTTTCACTTTATTTTTATGAGTATATATGTCTACCTGCATGCATGTATGTGAGCCACAACCGTCCCTAGTGACTAAGCCAAAACATGTCTGATACTCTGGAACTGAGCAGTTGTGAGATACCACGTGAGTACTGGAAACAAAACTCATTCTCTGCAAGAGCAGCCAGGGTTTTTACCTGCAGAACCATCTCTCTCGTCCCCTAAGGACATGCCTTTACCACTACCAAAGGAGCAGATTATCATTCTTCTACCAGGTATTGGTAGTCAGAAATTAACACTTTGCTTTATAGAAGGGTCAGCAAATATTTTTGTAAAGGACAAGTAGTGAGCATTCTGGCTGTGCAGAGTATTTACTTACCAGTCTTTGTTACAATTACTCAAGTTTGATATTGAGCACAAAAAAAGATATAGACAAATGAACGTGGTTATGTTCAAATCAAACTTTATTCATAAGAATAAGGATTAATTAAACTGAATTTGACACACAGGTTAACTTTGCCAACTCTAAAGTATATATTTCAATGGCCTAAATGACAAACCAAGCAGATTAAGTTATTTTTATCAATGATATTACCAAGGATTACAGATTAAGAAAAGAATCAAATCTATTTATAATTTATTATTTCAAATGCCCAACTGATATGACAGACTGACAAATATATTTATTAAAACTGATAGTGTTCATATTACCTGTGTTTACTCCTCCAGTTAAAATCCAAGCTCCGGTTGTAACTGCAGCTTTAATAAGACCCTTTCCAAGCAACTGCTTGATTCTTGGATGAAGCTCAAATTTCTGCATGCCTCCATGTACAGAAATAACAAGTTTGGGTAACTCCATTTGCCATTCTTTAAGCAGAAGTTGCAGAATGATTTCAGGTTTGGTATCATATGACAGTCTCACATACTAAAACAAACAAAGGGTCAAAATAACTATGTTCACAGATTTAATAATGCAATATTATCTGATATTCAAAAAATTTACTAGCCTGGAGGTGGTGGTGTATGCCTTTTATCTCAGCAACAGAGAGGCATATGCACGAAGATCTCTGTGAGTTTGAGGCCAGACTGGTCTACAGAGCTGTTGTGGGATATTTGTACATTGTGAAGATATATTGATATGATTGGTATAATGAAAAGCCGAATGGCAGGAGGTAGAGGCCAGATTTTGGAGTAAAGAAAAAAGGAGGAGGAATCTAGGCATGCAGGAGAAGCTAGGAGACATGGAAAGGAAACAGGAAGAATAAGATGGAAGAGGGGTAATACCATGTGATAGAACATAGATTAATATAAATAGGTTAATTTAAGTCATAGAGCTAACTGAGACAAGTCTAAGTTAAAGGCTGAACTTTCATAATTAATAAGTCTCTGTCATTTGGGGACTGGCTGGCGGAACAGAGGAAGACTTGTTACATATGGTGCCCACCTTCTAGACACATATTTCCATGTAGGGCCTGAGAAATCTAAGCAAACAAACAAGTGAGCAAGTAAAACAAACCAAACCCGGCTTCCTAGAAAACGGGGTGGCTGCTGTACAGTGAGCACTTGAACAGCACTAAGCAGAAACAGTACGGGCTCAGCAAATTCCCACAGCTGGAGCAGGTAAATGTTGCCCCCAGCTGGTGCTGCGGGCTTATTCTGCAGGAGTAAGGCTCTCTCAGACCCAAGCAGGATGGAGCCAGCCACCAACATAGCCACACAGTGGGTTTAAGGTTTGGCTCTCGTGGTCAGAGAAGGCTACAGTTGGCGCAGTAAAGCAGTTCAGACCAAGAAACCCTCTAAACATGTACAGTAAAAAATGGGTATAAAGAGTCACAGCAAAAAAAAAAATATTTTAAAAATAATAAAGTCTTTAGAGAAAGAATAAAGCAATGTTATTTAAAAAAAAATAAGTCATATAAGGATGGGAAATGCACAGGGCATCTGGATCCTGTATGGTACTTTGTTGACTTTAAATTCTTTGAATGCTGATAAGAAAACAACAGCTGCTAAGAGCACTGGATTATGAAAGGAATTGCTAAATTAAACCAACCTATATATTTTAAAAATGTCTTACTTCAAAATGGAAGTCAAAAAGTATGTTGCATTGGGGAAGAGGTTATGCCTTTGTTTCCACAGGAAACAAAAAGTTATGGTTCTCTTAAAAAATTAATGAAGATCAGATTTGAATGGGGAAGATCTGAAAATCTTGGCAACAGATAAGGAAAAAAAAAGACTACAGGACAGGTGATGTATATGTTGATCCTTCGACATGGGAACATCTCTTGAGACTGGATGCAACATGATAAATCTTATTGACTACAGAGTCCTCATGACTTATTATATGCCATCTTTTCATATGGTAAGGATAGAGATTTGCCTATACAGTCCAAGCAGACATACAGTTGACAGACAGCTTTTACCTGCTCAAACATAAAGCAAAAAATCTTTAACTGACTTATGCACACTGCACATTCCATAGTTAATGCAGATATATGTGTGTGTGTGTATGTATGTGTGTGTACACATATAATCTTTTAATAGTTTATGTGTTTTCAGAAAAAAAGGACCAGGCAACAACAAAGAGGTGATCCAGCCTCTCAGAACGCCTCTGCCACAGTTTCTTCAAAATTCTGCATCCAAAACAACTTCAAAACTGCTAGTTCAGATGGCCCAGCCTAACAGACTATCCAGTCAAGACTTCAGATAAGTTCTATATTTTCCCATCAGAAACAAAACAAAAAATAATTCACCTAGCTCTCCCAGGTTTTGATCATTATCCTAACTTTCTCAGGGTCCCCTAGAGATACCATCACCCCCAGACAACAGGAAGCTGTCTAGAACACCAGACACCCACATTTCCAAGAGGTAGAATAAGCGGTCATTTTGTGAGTCTTGAATGTTTGTCATCGTTTAGGGGGGTTGGTTCTAAGTTATTATTGACAGTGGCCAGAAAAAAAGCTAAGCAAAGCAGATTAGATTGAGGGAACTCTTTCTGAGGGGAAAAAAAGAGGTTTTGAACATAGAAACAATGGGATAAAAGGATGAGTTGTTGAGTCTATTTTTGAACAACCACTAGTCTCAAACATTCTACACTGATATAGATTTTTGCATAGTTATACATTTGAGGTTAATTTTGTCATACACTGTATCTGTTTCTGCTCGTTTAAGGTATTGTACCCATGCAGCTCATTTAAAAATGTAATGTCGAGTTTCAGTCCTTCAAAGTATGGAGAATAATAAGGAAGGTTATTAGTTAGTCATCTATAATAATCAAACTGATGTTAGGTATCTTTTCAAGGTCAAACATATTTTAAATAGATGATGTTCAAACACTTCACTATCTACAGTATACGGCACTGAAAATGTTTTAATAACATAAAGCTTTTCATGACAGTAAGAGATGTCAGCTCCTGGCAACACCATTTACTTCAAAGAAATAGGTACTGAAGAAACTCCATATGGAATTTGCTTTGATTTGTGGCAAAGTTAGCCATTGGGCAAAGAAACTGCCCTTGCCTCGACTGCTGACAGTATCCTGTTCAAACTGGAAAAATGCAAAAGAAAGCGACTGCTGAACTTTGCCAAGACAAGGTAAGACAGTTCTTCAAAAATTCTTCACAAAAAAGCATGCCAGAATTTTTATGCCCATAGGACAAGGATGGGATGCCCCAATGTTGCAGAGGAACCTTTGGTGACTGTCCAGGCAGCCAACTGTTTCTATCATTTCTATAGTTTTGGAAGCTGCTTGTTCTGTACTTCCTATTTACTTGGATAATATTGCATCCTTTTCGAGTCTTTGTTGGGTTGGACCAGATATAGCTAACAGTTTTACTTGTTACCAAATTCAGAAAGAAACTTACATAAGAGATATAAAGTTTATAAGATTGAGAAACATAAAAGCTTAAGTTGTTTAAAAAGATTTTTTTTTTTTAGGGTGATAATACAAGTTATGATAGACAGTGGTTTGGGGTTAAAACTTTAGACCCCTTAAGTTAGATATAGAGTACTTTCTCCAAATTTGCCGAATACAAATGGATTGGACATTGTGAATGTGATTCTCAACCTGACAATTTAATTGTTCTTATCATATACTTTTATTAGAGTTAAAATCTTTCCATTTTAGAAAATTGGGGGAAATGTGGCATATTTGTACACTGTGAACATATATTGTTGTGACTGATGTGATAAAAATCTGAACAGCCAATAGCTAGGTAGAAGGTACAGGCCAGATTATTGGGGAAAGAAAGTAAGAGGAGGAATGTAGGCATGCAGAAGTTAGAAGTCAGGAGACATAGAGAGGAAACACGAGGCGCAAGATGAAAGAGGTAACTCCACGTGACAGAACACAGATTAATATAAATGGGTTAATTTAAGTTATAATAACTAGTTGAGACAAGCCTAAGTTAAAGGTCAAGCTTTCATAATGTCTCTGTATCATTATTTGGGAACTGGCTTGTGCGACAGAGTGAGTTACAGGTTAGCAAGGGCTATATGGAGAAACCCTGCCTCGAAAAACAAAAATCACCAACAAAAAATTCACATAAATTAGATAATATTTACACTCCTATAAACATAAAATAGCAAATGGCTTTTAAATTTGAAAAAAATTCTTGTGATACTTAGTACTAGCACTGTAACTTATACAAATTAAGATTCAAATGTCAATTTACCTACTTATACTCAATTATCAATTAATCTATCCAAAGTATTTGTTGCTCTGTTTAACTATGAGTACAAAAAGAGCAGGAAGCATTTAGGCAAATAACATGTGTTTTAGGAATCAGTTTGCTACAAAAGCAGTAAGAACTTATGAGATTAAATAGGAAAGCTTGGGATGAATATGCACTGTTTTTCCTAAGCCAGGGAGGAGGAACAAGCAAAGTTTATAAAATGTCAATGTAAATAACAATTACATTACAGAATTTTAAAATACACAGAATTTAAATTCCTGCCAACAAATGCACATAAGCCACAAAAGAAACAGTGTGGTTACAGATGTTCTGAACACTTTTACATTGTAGAGTGGTTAAAGGGAGAACAAGTTAAACTGTGTTTATTACAAGATTATACTAAAGAACAGAAGAAAAACGTATAAGTAAAGGAAGCCACTAATAAAAAACGTAAAGACAATATAAGACAAAAGCATAAAGAAAAAAGGGAGACAAACAGATAGCTAATACTATGATGGTTACATTTAAAATCAAATACAAAGATTTAATTTTAAAAGACTATATACACTACACTTTGGGGGATTTGATTTTGTTTAGCAGATAAGCTTTTTCTGTATTACCTAGACTGATCCCAAAAGTAGGTTCACGTGATCCTAATACTTTGGCTTCTCAAGAAAATGATGTCTTTTACCTTAAGAAAATTTTAAAAGGCAAAGGAAAGGAGGTTTAGCTCTCCTTTCAGAAAACAAAGATTCTGTTAATAAAATAAACACTTTTTATAATGATAAATTATTTGATCTATAAAAATACAATAATTCTGTACTTGCGTCAACCCTTATAATAAAAAACTTTAACATATACAGTGCACCTTACTTTCTGTTTTGGCACTATACATATTACAAGATAAATGAAATATAAAATAACCAAGTGGCATACCTTAGCTCTGTAGGAATGAGAACCCCCTTGAAAATTGATGACTCCATAAGCATCTGTTGGGCTCTGTTCCGTGTGCTTTTCTACAGACCATTCCTCTACTGCCTGATTAAAATGTTCACCCAATTTCACATCTGAGTATTTCATGGCAAGACTTGCAGTAAAGCAAGCATGTTGCTTGACCAAACGACCACAGAAACACCTAAAGATAAAAAGCAAAAGTATATTAAGATAAAGAGTCTGTTCACTGGTAGTGGTGGCACACTCCTTTAATCCCAACACTCCTCTAGGCAGAAGCAGGCAGATCTGTGAATTCAAGGTCAGCCTGGTCTACAAAGTGAGTTCCAGGAATGTCAGGGCTACACAGAGATACCCTGTCTCGAAAAGGGGGGGGGCACTAAATAAAATAAAAAAAATGACAGATGATATAAAACGAGTATTAGAAATAAGCACCAAATATTAAGACTATGCCCCAGAGAGCCGAGGAAAATACAGACACAATGAAGGAGAACTAGAAGACATTTTAAAAGTCAGAATAATATAAAACAGCTCAAAATATATAATTCAAGCTTCCAAAAGGAAGAAACTGGGACTAAAATTTGAAACACGCTGAAATAAAAAAAATTCCAAATTTGAAAATTCTTGACTCTACATCTTTAGTTCAACAAAGAAATATAGACCAGACAGGAATAAACAAAACCTTACTAGGGCCAGGAGTGGTGGTGCACACATCTTTGATCCCAGCAGTTAAAAAAGAAATCAGAGGAAGGTGAATCTCTATGAGTTCGAAAGCATCCAGGACTACACAGACCTCATCTCAAATATAGACAGATAGGTAAGCATAGACAGACAAACAGACAAATAAACAGATATAGGTAGGTAGGTCATGCTAGGGCATTGTTGAAAATGGTAATGAAAAAAAATCCTAAAACAAGCTAGAATATTACCTAATCAAAAAAAAAAAGCCAGTCACATGAATATAAATTAAAAATGATAAATTCTGGCCAGATGTGGTGGCACATACTTGTAACCCCAACCCTTGAGAAGTGGAAGCAAGAGGAGTAGGAACAAGACCTGCCTCAGTCAAGGAGTTTAAAGCCAGTGTCGGCTATGTGAGATTCTATTTTCAAAAGCATGCAGAAAGAATGATGGTTATAAAGGAAGAGAGCAGAAGAAAGTCTAGTATGTGTATGAGTATATATCTGAATATTTATGTGCATCACATTCAAGTAATTCCAACAAAGGTTAGAGCAGACACTGGATCCCCTGGAACTAGAGCTACAGGTGGTTGGGAGTGGCCATGTGGGTGCCGGGAATCAAACATGGATCCTGTGGAAGAACAGCTAGTGTTCTTAAAGAACAAGCCATCTCTCCAGTTTGCTACCTACCTCTTCTAAAAGAAATCAGATTTTCTAATGGAAAATCAGAAGTAAAAGACATACTATATACTGTACTTAAATGATCTGGTCCCTACTTATTTCTCTCCAATTGTTTTTGTTTTTGTTTTGTTTTGTTTTAAGATAGGGAATACTGTATAGCCCTGGCTGGCTGGGAACTCACTACATGAGCTCAGAGATCTGCTTGCCTATCTCTTGAATGCTGGCAGCTCAGCCTACCAACCACAACTTGTATCTTACACTGTTGTTTCCTGATAGAACCACAATATCTTTAACTGTCAGATCTTCCTCAGCCTCTTTTGCTTGTCAGAATCCCCTGTCCCTCAACTCTCTGGTCAACTAACTCACACTCTCACAACCCTGCTGTGGTACCTTTAAATTTGAAGCATCATTGTCAAATGTTTGAGCAAAAGGTCCTTTAAGTATACTATCATGTAAATTGTATACCTCTGTGTTATACCTAGCGTTTTTTAGGTGTTTCTCATATATCAGATATTTTTCAAAATTTCTGCAATGCATACTAAACTTACCTGACAAGCTGCTGACAGATCTGACATCCTGGAAGACATCTATAAAATGCAGAAAGATAAATTATTACTTCATAAAAATATTTATCTTAAAATTAACTACTTAGATTCATACAAGTATGAAACATAGAAAAACTATATCATTTCAGTAGATACCTTAGATCATGCATACATTGGTTTATACATTCAACTAACCCTTTATATTTAAATAGATTTTTTTTTTGTTTTGAGACAGGGTTTCTGTGTAGCTTGGGAGCCTGTCCTGGAACTAGCTCTGTAGACCAGGCTGGTATCAAACTTACAGAGACCTTCCTTTCTCTAATCCCCACGTGCTGGGATTAAAGGCATGCACCACCATCACCTGGCTTTAATAGATTTATATTTTAAGTATTATTAATTTTGAAATAAAACTAAGCCACTACAACAGAGTAAAAATACCCATGTTTACATGCAACTAATAAAACCTAAACATGAACTTTAAAAGAAGAATTTTCCCAATATATAAAGAGCTTTCTCAAATGAATGTGTAAAAAAATCAACACAAAAAAATGGAAAAATATGAAGAGCTCACAGTAAAAACAAAGATTCAATTAGGAAAGACTTAGAAATATTTGAATAGCTTCATGAACATATAGAGAATTTATATTCAGGTGAACTATATTTTATGAATTGTATTTTTATGAAAGACAATTTTATAATGCTTGTCAAAATAAAAAATACCAACTCCTCACACTCTATCTCAAGTTCCAGAAGTTTGGGCCAGAACTGGGGAGGTAGCTCAGTCATAGCACACCTGCCTAACAGGCATAAAACACTGGGTTCAACTCCCCAGCACTGATAACCAAAATATATTTCAAAATATATTTTGAAAATATATGCTAAAGTCAGTCTAAAATATCTGAAGTATATGTGAAAAATGAAAATTATAAGATAATACATTATACAATTTTTAACATCAAAGAGAAAAAGAGAATATAACTAAAATGTTATCAATAAGGAACTTCCATACTAACACAAATGACCCAGACACAGAACTCAAAAATGCAACAAATGAGGAATATAGCTGGGAATATAGCTTAGTGGTAGAGTCCTTGCCTAGAACATGCAAGGCTGAGTTCTATCCCCACTACCACTTAAAAAGTACAGGGGGTAAAGTTTAAGTCAGGTGAGATGGTGCGTGTGAAAGGCAGCAGGATGGCTGTAGTTGTGGGACAATCTAATCTACATAGCCGAGTCTCAGGCCAGTGAGGGCTACATAGTAAGATCCTGTCTCAAAAGAAAACAAAGAGAAAGAATGAAGTGATGATCTCCAAGATAAGTAATACACAACAGATAAAACAGTATGTACTTGAAAGTTAGGGGAGAAGGTTATATATACATGTGCTTGGACATGCAAAGACTATTTCTAGGAGCTTTCAGATGAGTGCTAGTGGTGAGAACTCATCACTGACTGCTCTTTAACCAGGTCTCTCTGGAAGGAGTGTCAAGGTACCAAAATATTCTGTTGAGGTGAACTTATGGCCAAAGAATAGTAGTGGAAAGACTTTCATTTTTTATTTGATAACAGCTTGTGTTTTTTTTTAATATCTGGTGATTATATTATTTCTACTGCATAGTAAAACTAACAAAATCATAACAAACTTATCAATAATACAATCTATTATTATGTATTGCTTCTTTTTTTGTATTGAATTGCTTTTTTTGGGGGGGGGGGACAGGGTCTCACTATACAGCTTTGTCTGGCCTAAAAACTGACTATACATAGACAAGGTTGGTCTTGAACTCAGAAATCCACCTGCCTCTGCCTCCCACATGCTAGGATTAAAGACATGCACCACCATACCCTGCCAAATTCATTGGTTTTTGTTGGTGGTGGTAATGTTCTGGGAGGGTCTTGGTGGCATTTGTTTTGCTCCGTTTTTACAGAATTTTTCTGTATAATCTTAGCTGTCCTGGAACTCGATTTTGCCTGGAACTCGATTTGCCTGAAATCGTGGAGATCCATCTGCCTATGCCTCCCAAGTGCTAGGATTAAAGGCATATGCCACCCTTGGCTCCAAATCTATAATTTTTAATAAACAAAAAAACTCCATACTTTTCTGAAAGAAAAATGGTATCTGAGAACTAGCATGGTAAATTAGAATCCTAAACATGAACCCTAGTGTTAGGAACTAATCCTGGTGTTTCCCTGTGATATAACAACACAACTCACCTTTAGTAAACTTTAAGATACTAGGGGAAAAATAAATCACAGAATCTAATTATTTTAAGGGATATTAAGGTTATATAATGATTGGAAGAGTCAAAGATTTCTGCAGGGTTTGGAAATTTGCCTCAGTCAGTAAAATGCTTGTCACACAATCATAAAGACCTGCATCTAGATTCCCAGCACCCACATTTAGGAAAGAGAAAGGAGGTGGGGGAGAATAGATACAACAGTGCATGTCTGAAACCCCAGAGGTGGAGGGCTCCCTAGAGCTTGCAAACCATCTAGCCTGGCCACTGGGTGAGTTGTTTCAAAAAGTAAGATGGATGGCTGCCACATGAATGCACACATTCCACATGAACACAAACACTCATACATTCTCTCTCTCTCTCTCTCTCTCTCTCTCTCTCTCACACACACACACACACACACACACACACACACACACACACAAAACTAAAGAAAAACCTTTTCAGGAATTTACTAAAATCTGGAGAACATTTAAAAAAATATTTTCCCAAGACTAATCAACTAAATTCAAATTTATAACATATACCATTTTGGCCAACTAAAAATCAAGACGCAGGTAAGGCAGGTATGAACTCACAGTTTCAGCAATCCTGGCAACCAGAGAACTAAAACTGTTATCACCTGAGTTCAGTAGTTCAAAAACTAACCTGAGCAACACAAAAAGGCCCAGTACTAAAACAAAAGAAAAATGGACTGGAGAGATAGCTCAGTAGTTAAGAGTACTGGCTGCTCTTAAAGGATCCAGTTCTGTTCCCAGCAAACACATGGACGCTCACAACCACTTGTAACTCTAGATCCAGGGAATCAGTATTGGCTTCCAGGCAGGCAGGGAGGGAGGGAGGGAGGGAGGCAGGGAAGGAGGGAAGCAGGGAAGGGCAGGAGGAAAGGAAAGGAAAGGAGGAGAGGAGAGGAGAGGAAAGGAGAGGGGAGGAGTGAAAAGGGGAGAGGAGAGGAGGGGACAGGACAGGACAGGACAGGAAAGAGGAAAAAGGAAAAAGGAAAAAGAAGGAAAAAGGAAAGGAAAGTCAGGGCAGTGGGTACATGCATTTCCTTTAATCCCAGCACTAGAAGGCAGAGGCAGGACAGCCTGGTCTACAGATTAGTTCCAGGACAGCCAGAACTACAGAGAAACCATCTTGAAAAAACAAAGAGAAAAAGAATAGCATACCTCAAAAAAAAAAATAGTATTTTCCACTTATCACCATTTCTTGAAGATAACAGAATGCACTATCTTAGACAATATTCAATCGAGTACCTACTTGTATTTGCTACTGGTCATAATTAACACACTTAAAATCATTTAGCGCTACATAAACTAACAGTGGAGTCCTTAAACATTAAAAACAACAACAAAAAGTATTATTGACAAAAATCTTTCCTGTGTGTTGCTGTGGATCAAGCCCAGAGTCTCATGTGTAACAGAAGTGCTGATCTTTTTAGCAATTTTTGAAAGAGTCATATGCCTAACTAGGTATAGTGACCCATGCCTGTAATCCTAGCACTCTGAAGGACTGCCTTGAGCGTGAAGACAGGCAGGGCTACACAAGGGGAGGAAAGAAGAGACTGACCAAATGGAAGAAAAAAAGAAAAGAGAAGAAAGAAAAAATAATAATCACATACTCAATAGAAGTGAAAGTTACAGAGCAAGTTTATTTGACAGAGAACAGGGTTTGACAGAAGGAAGACGTGAGAAAATCCAAAGGTCTTTTAAATCAGCAGATCTCAACATGTTGGCTATGATCCCTTTGGGGGTCGCATATAGATATCCTACAGAACAGATATTTATGATTCATAAAAAAATTAGTTATGAAGTAGCAACAAAATAGTTTTATGGTTTGGGTCACCACAACATTAGAAACTGTATTAAAGGGTCACAGTGTTAGGAAAGTTGAGAACCACTTGTCATGTTTCTTCCCTTGTAAAGTTATGAAATAACCTTTGATTTGTATTTTTAATTTATTTCTTACTAAGCTTACGCTTCAAAAAAACAAAAAAAACTTAAGAATATATTTTTTCCTTTTTTTGTGTCTCTCGAAGAGGTAACTTCTCTCCTCTCCCAGCCTTCTGTTTCTCTCTCTTTCTGCACTTCCCCCTTTTCTCCTTACCCTCCTTTCCCCTCCATAGCCCACTAAATAAATACCCACTTTCTCTGCAATTTTAATAGTGTGAGTGCATGGCAAAGGATAACTTCAGTGGTCAGATCTCTCCTCCACTGTGGGTCATGGGGATTGAACTGAACCCTGCTCATCAGGGTTGTAGAGAAGGTCTTTTTACCTACTGGTCCATATCTCATTGGCCCAAGAATGTTTCTTTTTCTTTTATTTTTAAATTTTATTTGTAATTCTATGCACATATGTGTAACTGTGGGGGGGTATCTATGCATGAATGACAACATAGTTCAAATCAGAGTGTCAGATCCCCTGGAGATGGAGTTACAAGCAGTTGCTAACAGTCTATATACATATCCAGGAACATGTGAGAGGCCTTAGGTTTAATCTCCAAGCAAGAAGGCAGGGGAGGTGTCTACTGAGCTCATATTCTTCAGCACCAACCATAAGTGCATATTAATATGCCCATTAACAAATTCTGAAGTATCTTTTCGTTTTCAGGATAGGGGTGGTAGTGGTAAAAACTTTATTGTAGCTTCTATTGTGCTTAGACAGTTAGGGTTCTGAGACAGGAAAACAGTTTGAGGAAAGAAATTCCAGAGCACAGGTAACTTACTTAGTCTCCCTTTCCACTCTCAAAAGAAAAATTAACAGTGACCTTATATTATTTTGTTTACTATAAGCAAATAACAATAAATTTACATCTAAATTTCTAGAAGATCCTAGAAGAAACCAATGCATGCTTACCTGTGAGGGTCTTTGGAGCTTGGTATAATATACACACACTCCCTCTTGGTCAAAGTGCTCTCTATCCAGGATTTCTGGGACTAAAACAGAGAGTTCAAGGATGGTTTACAAGTTTACAAGTTTACAGCCTGCTAATCTAAGGAAATAATTTCACAATAGATACACAAAAATGTGTGTGATATTTAATCTTGTTTTAATCCACTAAAGAGGCGCTATATACTATTCTCAGTGCTGGCACACCTAAATCATTAAAATAATTCCACTGAAGTAACCATGATGTGACAATGCTGTGCCACAGGAAACAAAGCAAGTGTGAGACTCTTCCAGTAAGCCTCAAGAGGGGCTAATGTAATCCTAGGCCAGTTAAAAGAACCAAAAGTGACAGCCACATTTAACTTAGAGAAAACAAAAGCCCAGCCTAAGCTATCAGCCTAAGCTATTTCTAGGAAGGTTAAGGGCACATAATAGCTAACGGTACTGCGATACAAAAAGATAGCAAGCAAAATTCTAGTCAAAGGAAAAAAAAATCAACAGAAATAAAGCAGGTTATCTATGATCCACTCAGAAAGTAGTTATCTCATCTGATCTTGGAAGCTAAACAGGGCAGGGCTCATAAGTACCTGGATGGGAAACACAGTAAGTTATTAAATGATTATAAACATTTAATCTACCAAATTTGTGTGTCCATCTTATGTAAGATCAACCACATCAAAGATTAAAAAAAGCAAAAATTCAATGAGAATTAAACAATTCTAGATCACATACATTTCTTTCTAATCAGGAAAGGTACTTTTAAAAGTTTTAACGCAATTAACAAGTTCAACTTGATGAATACATGCCTATTTCTGCATCCCACATAAAAAAAGGACCCACTTTCTTCAAGTACACACAGAAGTTTTACAAAAAATGAAAGTATATTTATCCATAAGAAGTGAATCAGCAAATATTCATACAATGTATACTTATAGAACCTACGAGATGATCACACTGTAATTAACAAAGCACAGACAAAATTCGCCTTCAATATTTAAAACAAAATATTTAAGAATCAAAATATAAGTCACAAGCATCTGAAGTTCTCAGATTTGAATGATGTGTCTGTTCTAGTTTGTTTTCTTGTGGTGATAAAACAACTCGAGGAGGAAAAGGTTGGTTTCATCTTACAATTCCAACTAACATCATTGAGGAAAGTCAAGGCAAAGACTGAAGCAGAGATCATGGTGGAGAAATGCAATTGACAGCTTCCCATACCTACCTTTCTTATACAGAGTAGGCCCACCTGCCTAAGGACAGCACCAAATACAGTGGGCTGGGCTTTCCTGCATCAAATAACAATTAAGAATGTGCCCTGCAAGACGAATCTCTGACCTAGAGACCAGCCCAGCCTGGTCTAGAGTTCCAGGACAGCCAGTGATACACATAGATATCCCTTACCTCCACCCCCAAAAAAGAACAGGCCTCACAGACATGCCAGGCCCACAGGCCAATCTGAAGGAATTTTTTTGTTTGTTTTTGGTTTTGTTTTGTGTGGGTTTTTTCATTTGTTTGTTTTTGTTTTTTGAGACAGGGTTTCTCTGTAGCTTTGGAGTCTGTCCAGGAACTCTCTCTGTAGGCCAAGAAGATGGCCTTGAACTCACAGAGATTCACCTGTTTCCTAGTGCTGGGTGGGATTAAAGAGGTGTGTCCCCATGTCCAACCTTCCTTCCCAATCTTTTAAAAGACTGTGTTTTATAAACAAACATTGGGTAATTCACAAATTTCCATTTCTGAATTCCATTCCAACACTGGAAAAAAAAAATTGCAGGCCAGGTATGATATGGAACACTCAGTACTTGGGAGTGAGTTAAAGGACAGCCTGGTCTAAACAGAGACACATCTCAAAAAACAAACAAAAATAGTATTTCAATCCAAATCTTCCACTATATTCTTATATGACATATCAACTGCCTGACATATCAACAGCTCTTTTGATACCTAAAATGTACCTTAAAATTGAACCTTCACACACTCATTCTTCATGTAGTTTTGCCTATTTCAGCAAATGCCAAATTAATTCTCTCAGTACTATAGTGACTGAAATAAAGATTCCCTAGCCATCAATCCCAGAAGTCAAGCAAAGTTATAAAAAGAAATCAATACCTAAAATGTTTCTATCAGATGGCCTGTAGGCAAGCCTGTGGGTGTATTTTCTTGATTAATGATTCATATAGGAAAGCCAACACACTGGGGGCAGTGTCATCTCTGGGCAGCAGGCTGATCAAGCCATAGGATCAAGCCAGTAAGTATAAATAGCGTTCTTCCATGACTTCTGCCTCAATTCTTCCCTGCAAATTCCTGCTCAGACTGTGACCTGAGAGCTATAAGCTGAAATAAACTCTTTCCTCCTCAATTTGCTTTGGTCATGGTGTTTTTGGTTTTTTTTTTTTTCACAACAGAAAAGAACCCCTATGATAAAAATTGGTCCCTAAATTATAGGACATTACTATAATAGACCTGACCATGTTTGGGGGATGACTGCCGAAGGACATTAAAACTTTGAGCTGGAAAACCCAAAGTGTTCAGAGCTTTAAAGAGCTGCTGTGGAAACTCAGAAGATAACGCTGAGATCAGAGCAGACAGCAGAGGCCTAGTTTGTGCAGTTTCAGAGGAAAGTTTGAGTCCCTTAAAGACTATTTGGGGACCACTCCACATTTGAATTAAGAATCTGTGGTTCTGGTCAGCTGGTGCAGAAGAATCAGCTTTCATTAACAAGAGAGACCAGAACCACAAAAGTGAAATCTTGGCTTTGCTGGGACAATCCATATCGGTCAGCTGGGGTTGAAGAATCAGCTGTGATTAAGAAAAGAACAGTTCCTTTTTGTGGCACGCCTAGGCAGTTTATTATTATGAAGCTTAATATCCCTTTCCCAGATCATCAGCTGCCAGAAGTTCATTGAAGTGGGTGATGAACACAGATTTCATATTTTCTATGAGAAGCACATGGCCACAGAAGTTAATTGTGGTAGGAATCAGTAGTGGGAACAACAAGCTTTTCCCATGAAGCAAGGTGTCTTGAACCACAGAAGAGGGCACCTGCTGTTAAGTAAGGAGGGGCGTTTTTTACTTACAGAGAAAGAACTGAAGAGAGGAGTGCAAATCTGTTTCGGGATGCATTGTGGACGTCAATCTGAACATTCTCTACTTGGTTACTCTTAAGAAGGGGAGAGTTAAAGAGAGAGGAAGCGAGAGAGAGAGAAAGAAAGGGCATGTATGTGTGTGTTCCTGGACTGACAGATACTACCGTGTCTCAATGGTTGACATATACTACTGTACCTAAGGGTTGGGGCCCAAAACAGCTCATGGAATCTGAAAGCTTTTTAGTCTCTTTAAAGATGGTGTGTACCAATATAATGTCAGATAGGCCTTGAACAAAGAATATAAAGAGCCCAGAACCAAAATACCCAATATTGAAATCTTGCTACTCAACATGCCCTGCAACACAAATGCCAATGTATTAGCTCTGAAGAAACAACAAAAGAAGAAAATCAAAGAGGAGGTTTCAGAATATGTTGAACTTTGGACAACAGAATGAAGAAGTATGCCAGGAACAGACCAATATGCCAAGAGACAGAGATGTGGACTGTCTGAAAGTTTCTCCTTCTAAATCTGAGTCCAGTCAAAAATAAGTCTTTCAAAATAACAAATAACCTGGGAGTGGTGGCACATGCCTTTAAATCCAGTACTCAGGAAGCAGAGGCAGGTGGATCTTTGAGTTCAAGTCAGCCTGGTCTACAAAGTGAGATCCAGGAGAGTCAGGGCTACACAGAAACCCTGTCTCAAAAAAAAAAAAAAAGAGTAACAAATAAATGATCAGAACTTGGAAAAAAAAATGAGGAGGATAATAAGGAGAACAGCATCACTAAGGCAAAAACACTTCTAGGAAGTGTGTTTCCTCAGGATCAGTACACTGTAGTCCAGATGGGAACCAAGGCTGTATCTCATGCTGGCAGCCAAACTTGGCCACGTATAAGAGAGTGATACTCGGTTCTAAAGGCATGAAACAATCAATGAGATCAGCTAGGGCCTGACACTGTGAGAGAGCAGGGGAAGCCAGAGGTAAAGATGCAGCCTCAAAGCAGTAGAAGGTCCAGGAATGAAGAAGCCAAGTTGAGGCTTGGTATCGTGTGTGACAAGGTCAAAGTCCCTAAAAAGAGCCCTGGAAAGGCTACTGGTTAATGTGCAGACCAGCTAGAGCGGAGACTCCAGAATTTGAGACATGGGACAATCACCAAGGATAGCAATAGCTATGAAATGGAGCTGGTCTGAGCCTGAGACATGCTATGTATGAAGAGACAGGCAGAGAGGTGGAGCTACCTGTGCCCTTTAGAACCCAGAAGATTGTGAGTCCCAGATGTCTGACACTTGGCTTTACATCGGTGGACTTTGGTTTTGCTTTATTCTGAATGTAACTGTGCCCTGGTTCTTCCCTGTTGGAATAAGAAAGTATTTAACTTGTTTTCAGATTTTACAAGAACCTACAGTTAGGAAACCTTAATTATTTTAGAGACTTTGAACACTTTGGGGGGGGTTGTTTTTCAAGACAGGGTTTCTCTGTGTAACCCTGACTGTCTTGAACTTCCTTTGTAGACCAGGCTGGCCTTGAACTCAGAGATTCGCCTGCCTCTACCACCACCGCACAACTGACTTTGAACTTCTTTTTTAAGATTTATTTATTTATTATGTATATACAATGCAGGCCAGAAGAGGGCACCAAGTCTCATTACAGATGGTTGTGAGCCTCCATGTGGTTGCTGGGAATTGAACTCAGGATCTTTGGAAGAGCAGGCAAAGCTCTTAACCACTGAGTCATCTCTCCATCTCGACTTTGAACTTTTAAAGTGTTTTAAAGGCTGTTGGACTTTTAAAAGTTGGAATGTTTTAATTATGTTAATATGAGATCTTGAGAATAAGAAAGAGAGTTGCGGTTTAATAGTAACATAGTAGCACGTCAAGTTGACAAGGGGTCAGTTGTCCTGATCACTCTGTCGACCTGACACTAGCTAGAGTTATATCTGGGAAGATGAACTTCTGAAA